CATTTTTTTTCTGTTAAAAAAAAAAAAAAAGCCAAGACGCTGCCAGGTCTTTTACAGGCCAACGTATTTATATGCGTAGAGGAATCGACGAAAAGAGCGTGGCCGCGTCGCTCGCGTCTCACTCGGTTCGTGGCGGCACCGGCGACTCTTGAATCGCCGTATACGAAATATTCCGCCCAGCGCGTACTTATAGCCGCTGCTGCAGCCTCCCGAGCCCCGAATACTTTTCACCACTGCGCCGTTGTTTAGATTGATTGCCGGCCTAATACAATTCATACCCTATACTTCTCGCTCATGGCTTGGGCGCGAGCGTTGCAATTCGTATTCCTCCGGCCAATTCGTAAATTCGAAGCCGAAGGGGGCAGAGAAAGAGAGCTGCAAAAAAACGAGCATGAGATATCGCGCTGGCACTGAAACATATTTATTAACTCATGTACGTACGAGAGACTCACGGAAAGATAAATGTACATCATGCGGCGAACGACCGCGAGCATCACCTGCATTAAGAATTGCCTCTATTTATCTTTGCTTTTTCATCCAAACGAGCAATTTTATTTTTTTTTTTTACTTTTACTTATTTATTTATTTATTATAATTTTTTTTTTTTTTTTTTTCAAAAAAATAAACAATTGAGCGAGCTCATGAGCAACTCCATTGTGAAAATACTGAAATATTATAAATGGATGCGCAGCCATTATTACTCATTCGGCCATTGAAGAAAAAGAGATGAGAAGCGCTTGACAGCTGAAAAAGAAACTGGCTCGAAATGATCGATTAGGTGCACGCAACGAATGGCGTCTTTTGACACGTTACGATTCATACGGAGCACGAATCAGGATGGTGGATGGCGACGAGCATGGGCAGGACCAAGCGTATCGCGTTTGACCCGTGCTCGAGACTACATCACTTTTGTATAGGAAACGCAGTTATATATTTCAAAGGCTCTTGGAGAAAAATTCATTGGCATGCAATGACAAAGCAGCCGCTACATCGTCGCAAATTCCTGTGATAAATACAGGCCTATACGGCAAGTATGAATATCAGCTGTGGCTCGTTGGCCATCCGCAAGCAGCAGCAACAGCTCGGCGTAATGTACAGCGCTCGAAACACGCAAGCGTATTCCAATGGGCTTTTGGCGAGTCTTTATCGTTTATATAAGTACATACTATTATATGGCGTTCGCTCGATATATGCAGCGGCGGCCTCGCGACTCGCGCGCAATGTCCATTGTTCTCGCGCCTGTGTACAGCGCAAGATGCGCGCAGCTTATATCGTCCTCCCTCGCAAGTCCCTCGGCCTCTTCTCACTGCTCGCTCGCGCGCGCCCAGTCCGGCCTTTACAAATGCGCGCCTCGGGACTTGAGCTATTTGCGCGCGCGCGACCGAGCGCTTGTTCCCTTCTTAGACGTTTTTTCTCTCGTGAGGCGTTGCATTGTCTTCTCGCGATCGTGCGCGCTTTTTTACTCCCTGCACACACTTTCATATCGCACCTGCATGTCTAATGCGCGACTTAAAAGGTAATCGTCGAGCGAGCTTACTTCTAAATATTCTCCATTGCAGCAAATAGCCACGCTTTTCTCAATCCAACCTTTGCGCATTTTCGATCCTGTTTCTTGCGTTCGGAAGCTTGGAATACATTCCGATTCATAACCCACGGTGACTCCGCGCTTTAACTGCTCAATTTATTAATCGAATGCGAATTAAAGACACTTAGGCACTCGTGTAAACACTATGAATACATGGCAATTTCCTTAACTAGTAAAAGGATAACAACATTTTTATTGATTCGAATCAATGAGATAACGCTTCGATGTATCGTCGAAATTTCTAAGAGACATTTAATGCCATCTAACGTTAAATTAGTAAACATATCGTGAACATCAAATTTTCGTTTTCTACTAAATTGTTAACTACCATTTATGATATATTCAATATAAATAAAACCTTTTAGACTTTTAAACAAACACTTTTTGAATAATATATAATTAGAGGCAGTATTGAAACATCATTTATCATTATTTTACCTCCTCCGTGACGAAGATCTGTGATGAACTCGAAAACAAGTTTTTGACCCTGGCGTTGTAAGAAAATCTGGTTCACATATTTTTCTACGGAGTTTTTCCTGGAATGGCTTGGCCAAATCAAATAGAATCAATTTTTTTCTTCCATTTTTTAGGATAAAGCTCAAAAGAGATGTATATTGATTTCCCTACATGGATGTTTTCATACTTGAATTTTGAATGTCCAAAGTTGTTCTTTATGTAGGCTTCTAGGGGAAGGTGAGGCACGCATGACAGATATCTTTACTTAGCTAAAAAATGAATGCACAAAAAAAACGTCTTCAAATTAGTCAAAGAACGCAAAAAAAATATTTTGGTTAATGAGTTAATGAGCAACATTATAGAATATTGCATGTAATTTGAGTTTTGGGAATTTTAAAAGTCCTATCTTTCATTACGGCAAAGTAATAATAGTACTTATGCCACTAGTATCGTAAAGTACTAATACAGGCCTAAGCCGCGAAAACCGAAAGCCTCAGTGCACGTGTTTATTGGCCTCGGACGCTAATTACACGTACCATGAGACTTTTCTACTTTTCGTGGCCCAGGTCAGTAATATACTATTGATTACTTAGTTCATTTACCTTCGACAAACATACGAGCAAAACTCTTGAAATTTTTAACATTTTATTGAGCACGAACAAGATGCGAACGGGTCGTGTTGATAATTTGTAAAACATTATGCACGCACGCTAAAAAGTAAGGTGCAATTAGATCTGGGGCGAAACCTTACTTTTCCTGAAAAAAATCAGGCCAAGTATCTGACACCCGAAGCCAAAGTGGTCTTCTTGTTAGTTTTTTAGACGATAAAACATTGATGTCAGTTTATGAAGCAAGCATTATAGTGACGAAGAATTAAATGAATAATGATTGGCTAATGTGAATAGATGAATAATGAATAGCGAATAAAAAAATGCAATGCTTTCGGCGTCGATCCGTGCCATAAAAGGTCGAATCAGTGCAGTAAACTACAAAAATTCTCATTATGCAGCAGTTTGCTGCAGAGAATCGAACGCGTTCGTGTGGAAATATGCAGAGAGCTTGGAGCAGTGGCCGAAACACATGCCAAGGCAGAACACGCGGAGATATCCGGATGTATACAAATGATTTTTCGATTAAACGTGAATGTACAGAGAGATATAGCTGTGGAATAGCTCGTTCGGAGCTTTAAAAGATGGCATCGAATTCAGCTGCGGCAGCGAAAGCCACGGCGGTGGAGGTAGTGCAGGAGAATTAGCGCCGGCCGCGCAGCGCACAAGGAGCTGCATCGTGAACTTGATCCACGTATAGGTGGAGCACACAGGTTACTCGCCGATCTCTCCGCGTGCACACACAGCCCGCCGAGCGTATAAAGGTATATTCTGAAATCGGCATGTAAGTACGTACATGCACGTGTATGTAGCTGAGAAAGAGATCGTCGTTCTAATTGGAGGGTCACTATCGACTGGGATCGCTCGCGATTCCACGGAATCGTGAATCTTACGTTCGGAGGAGCCACCTATAGCTTATATTCGCATAGCCAGTCTCATCTCGACAGAGCTTGTGCGGCTCTATATCCTATGAAAAGCGCGATCGAGAGAGAGAAAGAGAGAGAAAAAGCCTATATAGCACAACGGTCCGCAACACGTGCAGCTCGGTAAACATGCTAGAGATAAAGCCCTGATAATGAACGACAGCCACTCTCTCTTTCTCTCCCTCTCTTCCTTTGCTGCTACACTGAGAGGTCCGAACTCATTTAATTGGTGGAACCTTGCCCGCTGCTACATCTATACTTGCTCGTGAAAACACAGAATTATTCTCCTTCGCTCAACGAGCATTTAACCCCCGTTCAAAAATTACTTCTGTCAACAATTAAAAATACAATAATTATCAATTGAAAATTAGTATTATGATCTCCATTTTTCTTATTTCATTTAAAATTTTTTTAGTTTATAGTGCTCGATCATAATACTCATTAACCTTTCTATAGTCATTCTGGTACAAAAAAAATGAGAATTATTGTCATTTATATACGTATTGTATCATTCAGTATCATTTCTTATTATTTCCTTTGCTGCTAGCTTTTATAAATATTAATAACAGTTGGGATTTTCAGAGAAAAAAATGATACCCACTTGAAATTTTATAAACATAAATAGATATATTTTATAGGGTTAACGTAACTGCAAGAAAGCCCAATACAGGTGCATGAAATCATAATGACAAAAAAAAAATCTAACAATGAAATTCAACAAAGCTGCTTTAGATCCTTGTAAAAATCGCGTTGATTGAAACTAATGTCATAAACGGACATTTTTTAAAACCTTATTTTAAAAAAATCTTGCGATTCTATTTTAATGATTTACAGACATTAATTATCTTATTATCAGCACATCTTCGATTTGTTCTCGCTTTCGGCGAGTTGGAGATTCCAGAGGCAAAATCTTTGTGAATATCGTTATTTCACCGCAATCTTTTCTAATTTCAAATAATTAATATTGGTGATAAATTTATCATAAATTTTATGTTCATAAACATGATTTAATTGTTTCTGTCTAAATTAAACTTAGGTTTTTTATTACATGAGCTTTTTCTGAAAAAATTATATATTTTTCATTTTTCTTTAAATTTTTTTATTAGTGATTTTTTAACATAGTCGTCATAATGACTAAGACATGATTATCATACAAATCAATTAACCAAAATAATCCTTAAGGTTGCAATTAAGCAAGTTCATAATTAAGTTTTAACACGAGAATGGCCAAGAGTTATTTCTTATATATGAGAAGGGTCAGCTCTAATAATTGAATAGAGTAGTCATTAGCCCCCACGAAAGCAGCAATGGCGATAACGATCACATGACTTTATGTGTATTATAAAAAATTTATAACTCGCGGTTAATGATTAGTTCTCCTTGATAAGCTATAGTGGCGCTACCGTTTGATGAAATACCGTACTTCAATGGGTGTTTTTGCAAAATTCGTGCTGCAATCGCATCTTTTTTACCACCTTGTATTGAGGATATTGTAAATTGCAAGTCATAACAGTTATCAAACATTTGCAAATAATAAGTGAATTTATATATTTCGGCGCAAGCCTTATCATGAGATAAGAGTTATTAACGTTTTTGAAGTTGCTTCAGGTTTTTCATTTTTATTTTATATTTTATACCCTAGTCCATTATTGCCAACAAGTAAATATAATATAATTGAGTACATTTTCTGCCAAGTTAAAAAATTCAAACCACCATTATTTGTACTATTTGGTTTCAGGAAGATGGAAGGTGCTAAAAAATTAGCCAACTTAAGACAGTTGATGAAAACTGTCAAAGTTGATGATGTCCAAGGAATCGATGCCTACATTGTAACCATGAATGATGCTCATCAGTCAGAATATATAAGAGATAGAGATAAACGAATCAAATTTCTATCGGGCTTTTCTGGATCTGCAGGAACTGTTGTGGTTACACAAGAAAAAGCTTTACTTTGGACAGATGGCAGATATTTTGTCCAAGCTGTCATGGAATTTGATCCACCAGAACTATGGACTCTCATGAAAGATGGTACATCTAAATCTATAACAATAGAAGAATGGTTGCGCACAAATTTATCAACAACTGCAATAATAGGAGCCGATCCTAATTATATGAGCCACAAAACATGGAGTACTCTAAATGATAATTTATCCTATACAGGACATAGTCTCAAATCAATTGAACATAATTTAATAGATGAAATATGGAAGGACAAACCTCTTGATGGATATAATGATATTGTGCCTCATCCCTTAACTTTTACTGGTAAAACTGCAGGTGATAAAGTAAAATATTGTTTTGAAGAATTAAACAAAAACAAGGTTGATGTTTTAGTTATATCAGCTTTGGATGAAGTAGCATACTTATTAAATTTAAGAGGCACAGATATATCTTATAATCCTGTATTTTTCGCTTATGTAATTTTACACTCTAATGAGGTTCATATCTTTTTACACGAAGAAAAGTTAACCAATGCTGCAAGGCAACAGTTGATAGGTGAAAAAGTCAATTTTACTCTTCATGCTTATGAAAGTATTGGAGAATATTTAAAAAATGTCAAAATTTCTGACTCAAGAAAAACCAGAGTGTGGTTGGCAAATGATGCAAGTGAAGCCTTATATTTCAAATGTATTGATAAATCAGTACACCATGCAGTTACTCCACCATGCTTGATGAAACTAGTCAAAAATACAGTAGAAATAGAAGGTATGAAACAGGCTCATATAAAAGATGGAGTAGCTTTGATTAAATTTTATTCTTGGCTTGAAAAAGAACTTAACACTGATGACCAGAATAAAAGTATAACAGAAATCAGTGCAGCTGAAAAACTTGAAGAATTTAGAAAAGAAGAAAAAGATTACCAAGGTCCAAGTTTTCCTACTATTTCTTCTTATGGAGAACATGCTGCTATCATACACTACAAACCATCAGAAAAAACAAATATTTCTATAACCACAGAAAAACCTTATTTATGTGATGCTGGTGCACAATTTTTGGAAGGAACAACCGATGTTACAAGAACCTTACACTTTGGACAACCATCAGATTATGAGAAGGAATGCTTTACTAGAGTTTTTAAAGGACAAAGTGGTTTATCAATGACTAAATTTCCCACAGGCATAAAAGGCAATTGTTTGGATTCTTTTGCACGTAAACATTTGTGGGATGTGGGTCTTAATTATTTGCATGGAACTGGTCATGGTGTAGGATCATTTTTAAATGTTCACGAATTTCCTGTTATGATATCTTGGAGACCTTATCCTGAAGACCCAGGAGTAAAACCAGGAATGTTTTTATCAAATGAACCAGGATATTATGAAGATGGAAATTTTGGCATACGTTTAGAAAATGTTGAAATGATTGTAAATGTTGATACCAAGTACAAGTCAAATGTGGAGTTTTTAACTTTTGAAACTGTTACAATGGTGCCAATTCAAAGGAAAATGCTTAATATGTCGATGTTGACAGATAATGAAATTCAGTATTTGGATGATTATCACAAAAAATGTTACGATACTTTAAGTCCTTATTTGCAGAAAGCAGAACATTCAACTGCATTAAATTGGTTGAAAAAAGAAACAAGCCCAATTAGAAAGTGATATGTAAAATTATATATCGATTAACATTTAAAAAAATTTGTTAGAAAAGAAAAATTTTTTAAAATCTTTCTTACTGTTCCATGAAAATGTAAGTTTCATAAGCTGATAAGTGATGAAAAAAAAAATTTGATTTAGCAGATGAATTGATTGAACTGAAAATGAATTTCATACAAATATTTTCTAATTTTAATAAAAAAAATTTTAATAAAAAAAAATTATATTTTGACGGGTTTGTATTGTTTTCAATTTACCTGTTCTTAATAAACTCTTACTAGTTTCAGTCTTGACCGCTAGCACTAAATTTACGCGATATTTTTAGCGCTTTCGTATCGAAGAATACAATCTATATTCTTTATATGTTGCTAATAAAGCTTACGTACTCTGATAATGAATACGTATATCGGCATTCAGCTGTGCTGCAAGGCTGCACCCTTACTCCACTTGTAAGTTGAAGCTTGCATTTTGCGGTTTTCGCTACAAGTAGAATACACCTTCACTATAGTTAAATTTAAAAGTGAGGTTATCCCAACCCTTAGATATACATATTGATATTCGGTTCAGTCTCGTACGTCTGTCGATTATGATATTTCTTTGCGTAAAGGTGTACGTAATGTGTTTACGCTCATTTTATGTAGACTTGCAGAGGACAGTATCCTGACTTGGCTACATTTCTTAATTATTCGACAATTGTTTCAAGTTTTTACGAGGAAATATTTAGTCAAAAATGTAAGTAAACAATGTAAACTAGACAGTTTGATTCTAACAAAGAATGCATTATTAACAGACTTTCAAAATAACGAAACTCCTCTTTCACTGGATATACAGTGATTACAAATCGATAATTACATTATCTTCAATGACGTCGTGTGACAACACCTCGGTGAACTAGGCAATTTATGAAATTACCTGAAGGGTATATTAAAACCATAATGCTAACAAAATCTACGAATATAAGGTGTTTCGGTACTTGCTTAAAACTTGAAAACTTAATTTAGCCGAGGAATAATATCGGAAGTTTTTCACTATTAACGTACTGTAATTTCTAACAAAGCAATGATTGAACTACTTTGAATTGAATTTGCTGTCAATATTCTACAAAGTATTCAAATTTTTAAATTTTATTTTTTACAATGTATTTTTTTGTTGTTGCAGAATTTATATTATACACAAAGTGCCATTTCTGTAATATATTATTACATGTATTACTAGTTGCCAAAGAACAATGGAGTCAACAAATCAGCTGGATGATAATGATACCAAAGAAGAATCTCAAAACATCCCCACTGATTCAGGTATATCCTAATTAGAAATTTGATTTCTCTTTTGCTAAATATGAAGTTGTACTAAATTACATTTTTTAGACAAAAGAAACAATGAGCAACAAAAACTGGAAGAAATTAAAAACATCATGCAAAAAGAATTTGATATTCAAAGAGCAAAAATGAAAGAGTTATTTTTGCAAAAAGAAGGTATAATAAAAATTAAATTAAAATAAACATACTAAAATGTATTGAAATTAATTATATTTCAGTTAAAACAAGTAATACTTATTTTTAACTTCTTAATTTTGTATTGTAATTGTAGATGAATTAAAACGAAAAACAGAAGAAAATTTTAATCTACAAACGGAAAATACTAAATTGCAACATGAACTGGATGAAGCTAAGAGTCAACTTGTAATTGTTGATTTAAAAAATCAAAATGACATTGATTTAGAAAAACGTAAAGCAGAGGACGAAATTGCTTCATTGCAACAAATTATCAATGCAACTGTTCAAGATTCTTCATCCACAAGAAAAGAATTGGAAATGAAAATAAGCAAACTTAAAGAAGAAAACAATAATTTGAGATTACAGATCATGCAAAATTCCAGCGCTGAGGGATTATCTTTGTCAACCATGACTAAGAGTTTAGCAAAAAAAGTGGCCTCTCAATTAGATTCACTTTCTCTTGGTTCTGATAATGATGATATAGCATCAAGAAATAAAAGACACGTATGCAATGATAATATACTAACTGAAATTTACATGGATTACATTTGTTTTGTATTTTATTAGTACTATTTTTACAGGCTGATGAAGATGCTGAATCTCTGCGTTCTCTAGTTGTGCCATTAGAAGAAGAAATAACAGCATTAAAAGAGAAGTTAAGAACTACTGATGATGAATTACAGAAATTCAAGGAGAAAGATGAACAACAATGTAACAAACAAATGAAAGCAAAAGAATCTGGTCAGTGGGAAAATACTTGTGACATGTGTGCCAACTATGAAGCTCAACTTCAAAGAATGCAGATGGAAGCTAAAGAATTTAAAAAAAGCATTCAAGAGTTTGAACAAGTATTGTTTGCACAAAAACAAGATCTAGTGAAAGAAGTAGAATTTAGAAAAGGAATGGAAGAAAAATGGAATGACAAAAAAGAGGAGCATAAAGCTGAAGTTGCTAATCTTACAGCTTCTGTTAAACTTGCTACAAAAACTTTAAATGACTTAAAAAAACAGTATTCTTATACTAAAGAAGCAGTAACAAAAGAATTAGCGAGGCTGACCCAAGACAGAGAAGCTGTTCAAAAGCATTTAAATGAGTGAGTGAGAATTCTTTATTTTAATAAAATTATTAAATGTTATTTATATATTAGGCAAGATATAAACATTACATTAAATTAAACTTGAATATTTTCTTTAGATTGACACACCAAAATGAATATTTATTGGGAAAATATAGTAAACATTCTGATCATTATCAGTATGAGCATATAAATATGCCTAATACTGTAGAAGAATTACACATCAGTATTCTGAAAATTCGAGAAGAATTAATTGTAGCAACTGTTGCAAGAGAAGAAGCTGAAAGAAAATTCAGATCTTTACAATATGAACTTGGATTATTACGTGATCAAGTCGAACAAGATAACATTGAAAAAGAAAAAAAAGAATTCGCTATAACAGAACTAAAGCAACAAATTATCAATCTACAGCAAGAACTGAATACCGGAGAAGAAACTCAAAAAGACTTTGTTCGTTTGACTCAATCATTACAGGTGTGGATTGTAATTTAGATGTAATTTCCAAAATCATGTGAAACGTAATGTCTATTCTTTTTGCAGATCGAACTACAAAAAATAAGAGATTCTGAAAAAGAAGTCAGGTGGCAGTATGAAGATGATGTTGATGAATGTCCAACATGCCATCTATTTTTTGCTTCTGATAAAAAAAAAGAGAAGGTAAGTTACAACATAAAAATTTTCTTTTAAAGTTACAACATTGACTAAATAGTTCAAATTTTAGGTTCATTGCAGACATTGTGGACAAATTTTTTGTCAGTCGTGCCTAAAAAATGAAGTAAAAAGTGGACCAAAAGAAAGAATATCCAGAGTTTGCAATATTTGCCATACATTACTTAAGAAAGAGGATGCACCTTATTTTAGTCGCGATCCTCCTTAATAAAATTAAATTCAAATTTTAAAATTGTCTTTATCTTTCAAGTGAGTGCAATATTTTTCCAAGAAGCTTTGTTGTATGATGAGTAAAATAATTATGACACTTACATACTAGGTTTATTAATTAAATTTTTGTAATATTTTTCAATTAATTAGAACATTTATATACAGGTAACAAAACTGGCTGTATTATTAGAACTCAAGTTTTATGTACTACACAAAATAATGTACATTTCTTGAATATTTATAAATATGTACAGTTTACTTACTAAGGTTGTAGACACTTGTGAAAAGTAAGTGTGACTATAAATACTTGTAATTTTATCTTGACGTTAATACACTTTCAGGTATCAAATTAAAATTGTCAAGTATTTTGTAAATATGAGACTGTATCATATATATATTGTATTATTAAAAATTTAAAACAAATTTAATTATTGATAAAATTTTACACCTACATACTGATTAGTAATATTTGCAGTAGTAGCAATAGTAGCAGTTTATTGGTGTTCAATGATGAATTACATAGCCTCGTATAACTTGTATTTTTTCATTAAATGCAGTCGATTTTTATTAGAATTTTAATGTGTATTCATTGCCATGGTGCTTGTTGGGGTATTTTTTTTTAAATCCTCATTCACTATTCATGCCATCTATTGGCAATTGCTGACTCACTTTCATGTGCACTGGCCTCTGACAGCAATTATAATTGTGAAGCAACCTTAATTCTGCTACATACATGAGAATGACCAAAAACATGACATAGATGAAGTACTCGATCATTTGTTGTTTTATATAATGAACTGAACCATCTGAAACTAGTTTTGTTTACTTTTTAACACGAGAATTTTCAAACCATTATTGAACCATGGCTCAAATACCTACTGGGCTGGTTTCTCATTCAAAAAAAGTATGCAACTTCTATAAACGAGTTATACGTCATTTGGAGAGTACGATTGTTCACTTGGATGAATTCAGGTTTGCCTTTGTAATAACAGTTATATTCGAGGAAATTTATTATTAATCTCTGATAAAAAATTATAAATACGTATCCATTTTATTATTCAACGCTGTAAATAACATGACGAATTCTAAATCGTTATGTTTCGGTTTTTATCTATTATTATAGATCAAAATGTTAATAATTATCACACAACGTTGAAAATATGTATTTTTGACTTTTAGGTATCAGGCAGTTCTAATGAGAGCTAAATTTGATGGTAATAAGAATGTTAGGGATCTCAGGGTGGCCAAAGATATGCTGAAAGAAGGTGAAGCAGAACTCTTTAGTCAGCTTCATTATTCCTATAAAAAATTCCCTGAATCGCCTGGTGGTGTAGCTTATCAGCGCGAACACCCCGCACCAGATTGGCTACTCGATTATTGGGATGAAAATGAAAAAGCTGCATATCCTAAGTACTTCGCAACTCGCGAAAAAAGAAAGAAAGAATACGAAGAATTTTACGCTGCGCAATATGGAAAACCTTCCTCATCGGCTGGTCATTGAGATAAATTTGATTTGAATAGTTAGATTAATTATAAATTAGTTGATTGTAATTGTTATCATTGTCAAACATATATTTATCTTAAATGATGCTAATAAACAAGATTTCATTATCATTTTGAATTCAAAAAAGGATGATTTATTGTATACTTAATTATTTAACATAAGTGTGAATTATTTTAATAACAGAACTCTTTGAAGACTTTCAAGTTCCTGGAAATACAATCTTAATATTTTAATCTTGAATTAAAATGTTTTATTAACTAATAGTGACAATGAGACTTGTAATAAGTTACATCAAAAGAGTTGAATAATTAATCAAAAATTAAAATCTATTCTCGTAAAATATTTAGTTCTTGTGATGAAATGTGCATTCTTAATTCTTTCTCTTCTATCAAGTCTTGAATTTCTGTGAGAACTTGTGGTGCTATTTCTGCTGCATTTAAATATAAACTTTTTATCCATGGGCATTGCATAACACTTAAATGATAAACTTCTTCACCTTTTTTTGTAACCAAATTATATTCTCGAATTGATAACATGTACAATTTCCAAATTAATGGACAGATCCTTGTTTCTTCATCCATTGATAAGTTTTTATAAAATGCTAACATTTTATTAGTAATCAACTGAACAGAATCTTCTAATCCTTCTTTCTTGAGATGTACAATGCGATTTCGCATATCTAGTACTCTTACTAAAAGATCTAAAGTGTTACTTTCACAATTTAATGATTTTAGTTTCCAACAAGGTTCAAAAATATCAACTACAATTTTCACTGACCGAAAATAAGTATTTCCTGGAAACTGATCTATTGCTTGATTTATTGATTCATATAATATTGCGTCAAAATCTTTTTTATTTTTGATAAGTTGATAAAGTTGTATGCAAATTATCTTACACTCATGAAATCTCTCTTTCATATTCAAGTTCTGACTATAATGTTCTATACACCTATTACATAATTCTAGTATATTGTTAAAGTTTTCAAATTCGTTATTTTTGATCAACATAATATAAGAATAACAAATGAAAATATCACATTCAATGCTTGATAAAAAGTATTCTTCTTCATCTTTATTTTGGATAGGTTCCATGATAAATTTTAAAATTTGATTGTATAGCATTTCTTCTATTGACATATCAGCATTGTATTTAAACTGCACTGAACAAAAATTTTTAAAGTTTTCAAGTACTTGCGCAAATGAATCTGACTTAAGCATCTGATAATTATTTATTTTGAATAGAAGCTCAAAATAGGTTCTGTAAAAACTAAATAAGGATTTCATTTCATCTTCTGATAATGAATTGATATTCTGCATTTGACTTAATGTTTGCATCATTTTCATACAATTATCATGGAAGCCGAGTTCAAATTCAATTAAAGCATATTCCTTGTAAAAATATAAGTTATTTCTATTTTCAGTTTTCTTCAGAAAAGCTTTTATTAAAGGCTTCAGTTCATTTTTTTTTGGTGATTCTCTCATAGGATCACATTTATTTACAAAAACTATAAGCCTTTCTAATCTCAACCACCAAACTAAAATGCTTACTCGTTTTTTTGAAGGTAATTTTTCAGCTACAGTATGAAAAACTGATCGTATAAAATTTAAATATAATTCTCTTGTTGGGTGATATTTTAAAAACTGAGGTCCTGAAGTTAGTTCACCTCTTAACAAATCTGTCATAATTAAATTATTGCAGGGATGATTATCTTGTTCTCCAACCCAAACTGCTGGTTGTATAATGGGCAATATGAATTCTAATGAATCTACACTGTGAATATAATCTTCTATGTAGAAATCTTTCAGCATGCAATGACGAGTTGGTAGCAATGGAATTTTCAAACATAACAATGATAAAACGATAAGTTGGAAATGTGATTTTCGTGAAACCACTGGATAAATAAAATCAGATACTTCTTCATAACAAACTAGTCTTTTTTCATCAACTATTAAGCTTCCATCTTCTTCATCTAAATTTATACTTGTCCAAAAACATCTCTCTCTGAGTGTTTCCACACGTAGCCACAATAAATTCAATGGAAGTCCAGAAGTAATTATAAGCTCTTCCATATCCATAAGAGTTTTTTCCTCCAGTGTGTCATTTTTAAAAAATTCCTTTTTTATATCTAAGTTCATACATAAATTAAGTTTTATTATTTCCCATGTTTGCTCCCAATATCCAGCTTGCCTTAAAAATGTTAAACAATCATAAAGAAGGGCTAATACTTTTCTCTCATTACTCTCTATATTTTTTCGACTGCTTATTTTCATAGTTGAAAAACATTTTGAATATAAAGCAAGTACTTTTGACTTTTTACATAGCACACCAGAAGTTTTCACAGCAGTAATTAAAGCTTTCCATAAAATAATATTATCAATGTCTTTTTTTAACATACTTTCTAGTTCTTGACAGTATTCATCAACTGGCTTGATCTTTGACATTGTTTGCAATTTGAGTAAGAGTAAATCAATCGAAGTAGGATTTGCTTTCAGACCTTTATCCAAAATTTTTAGTTTTTTATGTAAAGGTAATAGTTTGTATTCACTTACACGCGAAATTTCATCTTGAAAATGTGCATAATCTAGCCAAACCTTAATGTTTGTATCATCTATTCGAATTTTTTCTTCAAATTCTTTTCTTCGGTCCAAGTTAATGGGAGTTATATCCATTTCAATAGTGTTCATTTTCTTTTTGTAATATCTTTTAAATTTCAGGCGCTTATAATGATTGATCTTTTCTCTGTGAGTATTCCAACTTCCAAGAAATCTCGTCTTGTAAAGAGGTCTCATATCTACATCAAGAGTCTTTATAGTTAGATAATTGTTATTACCTTTCAAATCTTCAAGAAAAACTTCTCTTTTTTTCTTCTCATTTTTTTTAATTTTTTTATTAATTTTTGGCTGTTCGCATTCCGCGGAAGTTTGTTTTGGTTCATCAGAATTTTTCGCACTAAGACTACCCGAACAGGAATATTCCGTTGTTTCAGATGGGGAAGAAATATTTTCAAGGGCCACTTTCGATAAAACGCTAACACGTGATTGTTGATAACTATCGTTGTCTATCCATTCTGATGAATTGGGCTCGATTTTATCGTTAACGATTTCTTGCTTTTTTTCATCACTCGCAGAATAAGCTGGGAAAAGAGACATTTTTTATTAGGTTGCTGTTTACCACTAATAGTTATTTCACGTTTGACGTTATTGCTTTGTTATTATACTGTAAGAGACTACGGACTGTACTGACTACTATAGAGCATAGATAAATATTATGATCACGCTCGTGGGGGATAACCTTTTTGATGCAAAAGATGTCAAATAGTCTGCTGTCTGACATCGTAATTTGCAAAGCGCGCGAAATGAAAAGTACATTTAAAAAGTATATTTCCATCCTATAGGGCACGAAAGATAGGAAAGTTCCAGGCAGCCCAAGTCCGAGTTAAATAATTTCGTTTCCAAAAATCGAGCTGAAAAATAAAATTCAAAAAATCCAGCTCAAAATTTGCAAGGATTTGCAGCTCAAAATTCATCCAGAATTTTTAACAGGGTGGTTCTCAAAAATTAGACGCAATGATACGTAAGAAAAAAATTCGAGTATTGAAGATGACAAGAAGGTATAAGATATAAGTAACTAATTAATAAACACAAATGTTCAATAGTAATATTTTTACTTCAAATAAGGGTGCGCAAATTTGCAAACTATTTAAACAAATAACACATAGTACATAACATATGGATAAAGTTATTATGTCATCCTTCTAGTTAATAAAACATCCAACTACATAATAAAAACTTTCATAATTTGTTTTAAACATACATCTGTACAACAATCTGAAAAGACATCGAAGCGAGTGTAAGAATAAAATTTCTCTATCGCATCATTACATTAGTTTCGACACCTCTTTCAAGTAAACAGTTATTAATAGACGTCAGAATTTGTGAAAAAATTTAAATAATTTCTTAACTATTAGTTAAACTTTTCAAGTTAGCTCATTTTGCTTTCTTCGGTGCCATTTATACATTCGATAACACATCACTTAGTCGAAAATATGCTCTGCATTATATTCCTCATTTGGGCCTTTACACGTAAATTCGAACGATTCGACAAAAATGTATTTTCTTCTAAGTTACGTACCGTTTTCAAACTATACAATATAAAAAATACAAGTTCAAAAGTATTTTTTTTTCTTTTCTTACAAAAAAAAATAACAATATTTGGATGGAAATCAGATGAGCATCGAAGAACATTAATTTTGGTTACAACGCGTGGGTGCAAACATGTATCGAGTTGACGGGAGCAGCGCCTTAACGATTTAATTCAATAATCGTAAATAATTCACAGTATATAATGGGATCAAGTGGAATGGATAGAGAACAATGAAGGAGCACGGCCCAGCTGGTCCGAATAAGCTGACTTTACGAGGACATTCGGTGTATCGTGTGTAAAAAAAGTGAATTCTGTGGTAGCTATTGTAAATAGAATTGCGATGCCTCACAATATACACGAGCTTTATAACTAATTAGGACCTCGGCTCGATAAATTATCTTAAATATATATTAGGCGTGTACGAGTCGTGTGATGTAAGTTTGTGCCAGTAATTAGCGCATGGAGTCGCGGCTCGTCCAAGGAAAAAAAGTCGTCGTTCGATCTCATTGATGGCTCTTACTGAGCAAGTGCGAATTGAACTGATAGATATTGGAGCACTGCTCGCCGCATATGTTGCACTTCCAAGGATTGCTCTCGCTGTGGCAGCCTTTGTGTAGAAAATAAAGAGTCTGGTCCGGGAATGTGATTCTGCAATGGCTGCACTGCAGAGCGCTGCAGCTCAAGTTCTGCCTCAAGCTCGTCTCCTGGCAGGTCTGCAGTTGAAAGCTCGCTTTGTCGTTGCTCTCGCGGTCTCGATGCTCCTTGCGGCGATCGTCCTCGTCGTCGTCGTCGTCGTCATCCTCCGCAGTGGCTGCGGCGGCTGCTGCTGCTGCGGCTGCGGTGGCTTTGCCCTTGGAGATGACGAACTTGCGGCGCAGGTCGTCGCGCAGCAGCGACTGCAGCGGAGACACTTTGATGAGGGACGGCATCGAGGGTTGGCTCGCGACCGCCGAGGCGGGCTTGTCGAGCGGCTTGCGATCCTCGCAGCTCATCGGCTCCTGCTTCACGATCGGTATGAGAGAGATGGACGGCGTCACGGCATCATCGGCTGCTTCCCTCGTACGGCTGGAAAAAAGTCGCGCGGTCAGCACGAGCCGAAACTTTAAACGCCTACCATTGGTATACCTCTGATTAGGCTTGATAAAGTCGTCGGGGTCGGATTTGGCGGCGGCTCGGGTGTTGTAGCCGTTGCCGCCTCTGGGCAGTTGCGAATCGGCCAGTTGGGCCTTGGCTGCCTGATCGTGATCGTTTGGCTGGCTCTGGATTACGTCGATCTGATCGGAGTACGGGATGGATATCTCGACGTGGGGCGTGAGAAAATGCATGGGCGGAGTGGCGTTGTCGACCGATCGGTTCTCGCTGCTGTCGCCGCTGTCGGAGAGCATCGCGCTCGAGGAGACCGTCTCGCCGGAGAAGAGCTTCTTCATCATGCTGGTCGTGCTCGATGCTCCGCTGCTCGAGCCAGGATTGTCCAAATCGATACCGTGCCTGGATCCGAATCGAATATTGGAATTTATCGAAAAAAAAAAACAGAAAAGAATCGGACACCGATCGAAGGGCGTACCTGTTGAAGTAATGCAATCTGAGGCACTTCATCGACGAAGCTCGGTAGTGGCACAGAGGGCAGGACTTGATGCTGTCGTTGCGGCCCACGTGCTCGTTCTGAAAGTGAGCCCGCATGGCTATCTGACGCTGGAATCCCCGATTGCATATCGGACAGTGATAGGGTAATACTTTGGAATGAGTCGTAAAGTGCTCGGCTAAGTGGTCCTTCCGAAAGAATCTCTTTTGGCATATTCGGCACTCGTACGGCTTGACGCCCGTGTGCCTCATCTGCGAAATCGATTCGGCGTCAATTCCTGCATCGTTGCCATCGCGCTTCGACTCGCGACGCTTACCTTGTGCCTTCTCATATTGGCCCCGTTCGAGAACGTCATGTTGCAGACGTCGCATTCGAATGTTTTTCGACTCGTCTTGTCCTCGGGCTGCAGGTACTCTTCGCCGTCGCCGTCCAAGTCTGTTTCTTCGTTAGCATCTCCGCTTATCAGGCACTTGTCTTGCTTCTCAAAGGCAAATTTGGTATCGACTCCGCTGCAATTTTGACACTGATTGCATCTGAAATTAATTACATTTCAATCAATTCCGATGGGACAATCTTGCTCGTGCAAATAACATTTTTTCGCGGCATTTGTCCGACACGAGCCAAATCATATATATACTAATCGTGAGCAGCTTTTCGGTACATCTTGTATCAAAAATTCAATTTTTCATTGCCAACTCTCGGTGTCATAGAAGTAATAAACGACCGAGTTTTTTCCGCTTTTCTTTCGACACAAAGACGCGAAATTACTATTCCTACGAGTTATTATTAGCCGGACAGTAAAGATATGGTATCGGCAACGTACCCAACAGCAGATATCGATCCATTACAATTAGTACAAAAATTGGTATCAAAAGTAGTCTCTAGGTTGCGAGTTTGGGCCTGGTCCTTTTTTCCAAAAGCTTCGGCTTTGCTCTCGTCAAAGTTCGAGCCTCGGCCGCTCGGCTCCAGTAGTTTATTCTCTTCGATGCTTTGGTCGTCTCCATCTGGCATGATATGCAAAACTCAAAACAACAAAGCTTCGGTGTATGCGCGAGCTGTGAGCTGATCGACCTGCAAAATAAGGGTACACAATTGCGACCTTATCAAAGTGACCAAGCGCTCCTACTCGCACACGATCGGACGCAAAAAGCGCAGAATCAATTTAACGCCCATTTACGAACGTCGTCTCCAAGACTTTATTACTTACGACAATCTAAGCTTACTCTCGCATGGGGCTCATCGCTTAATCGATTCTGGCATGGCGAGCGAATTACTAACTAAATAACGATGAAGTTGCATGTACTCTGCCGATTTAACATTAATCTACGTGAGAGATATTGATGCACACGAGAATAAACGTCGACTTGCATGTATGTGCAGCATATAGTACGCAGCTACACGTTCACAGCTACGGAGAGCCAAAAGATACTGTTATGAGGAAAATTGAACAAGTATATAGGTAGAGAGAATCGAGAAGCATAGGTATAAAATGTAGAGAGTCGGACACAAGAAAAATGCTCAAGAAAGGAGATCAACAAAGTGCACGCGACACGAGTCTTTCTACAATGTCTCGTGCACATCCAGCACTTCTATTTGCTGATAAAATTTTCACCCAATACCTTGGATGCACTTGGACCTGTACCAATGCCTGCAATTACAATTCTTATGAGGAAGTAATTTTAGTTTACCATTTAATAACGATACCCGATGCAGATCTTTCCTAATCCCTTGTAAAATTGCTCGATTCACCTCGCATAATCAACTCAAAGTGCATTTTTAAATTTATACTCCCTATTTTACGAGCTTTCTGGCTAATTTTAAGCAATTTTAACAAAATTTCCCAATAATCACTACATCGCATTTTTTACATGACCTTATTCCAAAATTTTTATTCTTCGTGTCACGTATACACTGTATTTTACCAACTTGTGAGTAACCCAAGTTTTTTTTTCATTTACTTTCCAATGCTGTCTACTTATATTGTTGTGACAGTACATCGATGGAACACAAACCAACTTTTTTAGAAATTTATTTTTAAAATTGACATGACTTATTTTGAAACTCATGACAGTCACAATACTCTTGAGTAATTTATACGTGTCGACAGACTTCCATCTGCCACAAGTTTTGTACTCCTGGTTTGTCCTCTGCTACTGACTATTATCACGCAGTGTGTGTATTAGTTAACACTCGCGACCTTTTTCAGAAAATAAAAGTTTTTTTCCAAGTGAAAAAGTCATCGGTAAATTCGCGCAATCATGGTTATGGAAGGATTGTCACCGAGCAGCTGGAAAAAGCACCCAGCTGTAAGTTTACATCTTTTTAAACAATCATGTGCAGAAGCAATAAATTAATGCTTTATATTTTACAGCTCATCCCACTGTTTGTCTGCCTCGGTGCAGGAGTAGCTATGTCAATGTTTTACACTTTGAGATTGGCAACTAGGAATCCTGATGTTTCATGGAACAAAAAAGCAAATCCTGAACCCTGGAATGAATACAGAGATAGACGTTATAAGGTTTGTAAAAATTTAGGTGCAACATACTTTGCATTGATGTCTTTAACATCTACTAAATTCTTCTTCCTTTTATTTTAGTTCTACAGCCCAACTGGGGCTGAACTGGAAAAGAGCGCTGCTCCAGAATATTAAGTTTTTTTATTTACAAGTATACTGTGGATACTGATATTAGAGACTGTCAATAGAGAAATACCGCAACTCTTATCGCCTCCATAGTAACAAAAATGATGAATTCTTATAGTGTATTATTGAAATATTATGTAGCATAAAATGTTTCAAATAACAAAGCAGTTGTTACATGAATAAATATTCAAATTAAATGTATCTTTTACGTAATTATTTTATAATTTAAAAATAAATGTATACCATACTAAACAAAACTACAAAGAAAACCTACGCACTATTTATGATTTATTGGTTAGTGTATACTAAATAGCTTTTTTCAAATCATTTTATTATGGATATCATTATTACTCAATGCTGAAAATCTTACATAATTCATCTATCAATATAAATTTGGTATTGTGGCTTTTTAATGAATGTTTACTAATCCTTTGAACTTTGACAATATGATCTTCGCATGTTATATAATCAATTTATAACCTTGTTAATTCCAAAAATGTTGTTTAATTCCAACGTAATCAATGAAAATTTATACTATAATGATTGAATATTATAAAAAAATCCTTTTATCAAAGTTGCATCAAAATGTGAAGGTTTAAACAATTATTTATTATTATTTATTATTTAAATTTTCACTACCTAATGATAATCTTTAGCACTTGAAAACTTCATAGCTTTTGGCATTTAATATTTAGAAATATATTAGCATGTTTTTTTGTTTTATTATTGATTTTTCATTTTCTCACTGGTAAGCGAATCAATTGGGTATTTAACCCACATACTATTTTGATTCATTTTGAGATATTCTATTTAATTTTCAGCACAATTATGACAGTCTAAATGAAGGAGGATATTGCAAAGTCTTTCTATTCCTTTATTTCAATAATCAACATATTTATTATTACTTCTATTGGGTAAACCAGCTCATATTTAATTGAATATAAAAACCTATGAAATTGTAAATATTATTTAACTGCATACACCACATAGGTTTTTAATTTTAATTTTGAAATTTACCTACAACGTTTATATAAAAATAATTTTACATAATGAAGTACGACCAACAATCCACAGTTAACTCCGTTGCAATAAATTAAAAAAAAAAAAAAATACTTTATGAAGTTTTATCTTGGATTTAAAAATTTCATCCTTATTTACACTTCATTTCAGCTGTTGGTATGACTAATTTGAACACAATAATATCCACATTTTTTCATTCGTCCAAAGTTTATTCAAAGCAAATTTGTTTTGATAGTAAGTATATCTATTTGATTCAAATGCCTGCAACTAAGATTTCGTTTTTCTGGCTTGAAATTAAATCGCAGTTATCAGGCTACCGACTGCCGCTGGTGAGGATTTTTCTGCATTGCAGTTGAAAATACCGTCTGCTTGGTTCCTAGACAGGGACTACAATGACTAAATTCCACTAAGAATGGTTATTCGGAAATGAAGCTTCAAGCGCGCAGTTGTTCTGCTATAACTATTTACATGGACTAAACCGTAAAATATAATATACGTGTACTGATAACAATATAACACATATCATAGATTAAGAGCTGTGAATAGGTTAGTCCAAAACGCTGATCATGATACATGGGCTTGTATCAGTTTATAATTGTGATTTAATAGTATAACTACTCGCAATCATCAATATGACGACACGACCAGGTTTTTAAATTTTATATTATTTATTTTTTTACTTGTAATAGTGAGTTTTGGATATTTTATTAAACTTCGATTCCTAATTTTTATTTACTGTTATAATTTTTACAATGAAATAGCAATCTTTCAATGAATTGATTAATGTTATTTTTATTTAATAAATATGCATAATTCTATTTCATATTTACAACATAAGAATTGATCAATAATGTTAAAAGTTAAAGGTGTGGAGAATGAAATCTCAACAAAACAAGGATTTTTGTCCCTTCTAACAATATTCCTCTTGTCATCGACTGCATTGTTCTATGTATACACAAGTTTTCCAGAGCTCAAAGAGTAAGTTTTTAAATATTCATTAAAGCAAGTATCTACTATTTTTTAATATTTCAAAATGCAATGTTTAATAAATGTTAAATATTTATGTTTAGAGATGAAAAAGCTCACCTGAAATTGCCTCTAGATATTCAAGATGCTAAAAATCTTGGAAAACTACTAGAATCATACAAAAATATGTATTATTTTCAAGTACTCACAGGGCTGTTTACAACTTATATATTGTATCCTTTACAATGCAAATTTTTAGTTTAAGAAAATTTCATTCGTATTTTAATATATATTTTCCTTAATTTATAACTTTAGTCTTCAAACATTTGCCATACCTGGATCAATATTCTTATCTATTCTATCAGGATATCTTTTCCCCTTTCCCTTAGCTTTAGGACTTGTTTGCACTTGTAGTGCTATTGGGGCATCACTTTGTTACTTACTTTCATCATTAGTGGGGAAAAAAATAGTACTCAGATATTTTCCTGATAAAGCCAAAAGTTGGGCAGAAGCTGTAAAAAAGCACAAAAGCAATCTTTTACATTACATGTTGTTTTTGAGAATAACTCCATTGCTACCTAATTGGTTCATAAATTTAGCAAGTCCAGTGGTTGGAGTACCAATGAAACCTTTTGTTATAGGAACTTTCTTAGGAGTAGCACCACCTTCTTTTGTAGCAATTCAAGCGGGACAAACTTTAAATAATTTAACTTCTTCTAGTGATGCATTTTCATGGAATAACATAATATTGCTATGTGCTTTTGCAATTATTTCAATTGTACCTGTAGTATTTAAAAAACAAATAAACCAAAAGTTTGAATAATTTTGTGATTACTGATATAAAAATACTGAATCAATCATTTAAATTGACCTCAATTTTATAGTTGGGTTTATTTTATGTAATATATTTCATATTTCAAGTAAATATGAATGTAATTGTAAGAAATGTACCTGAAAAAATAATTGTAGTCTTTTGAAAAGATTATGCATTATTTAAAAAACTTATTAAAATATATTATTCATGAACAAATACTTATTGAATTAATCTGTACAAATTGTTACCTTTGATTTTTTAGAAACTTGCAAATGTTGTCTCAACCCTGGCTTTAAAATTATATGAAAATAACATTCAATGAAGTAATTTCATTTAGTTATTGAATCGTTTTATAGTGTTAAGGAGTTGTAGGCGAAAAATTAATCAATGTAACATGGTCAATTTATTAAACTTTTTTTTTATAAATCGTAATAAAAGTTCGTTGTTGGTTGATATTGATAATCTGCGTTAAAATGATTTATTTTTTAATTTATCATTTAAATTATACCTGTATAATGTAAAATTATTTTCAGTTATTATAAAACTATTTTATGTGTAAAACAAAAAGTTCACAGCGCAAAAACACTTATCATTTATATTTTCATAAATAAGCGACAATCGTTTGTTACATCAGTAACGTCAATTCACTCATATTTTTAAATGCTGCACAGCAGCATATTTAACTTTTTAATATACAAATAGAGTAAAATAAATCAAGTAATTTCGTAATCATTCATAAGTTGGCTAGAAATTTGAGTAGTATTTGATAAAAATCTTCGTTCGTATTACTGTATTACGGGCAAATTATTGCGCTGTATACACATTACTTTAACATTATTGAAAATGTATAAACAGAATTTTTTTTTACAAATATTTTGAAATCATACTTTATACATCAAACTAATCATTTTAATTTGAGCACTTATTCAAAAATTCAAAAGTGTATTTTTGGAACGTAATCAATTCAAGTTAACTTTCGCTGCTTTTAATGAATGTCACAAAATAAACTTCTCATTTTGCAGTCATGAAATAAACTATATTTTTATGAATTTTTATATATAGCCATATCATTGATATATTGATATCGATGTATCAGAATTTACTAAGAATTTTTGATAATTAAAATGAGATGAGTGGACATTTTAAAAAAAATAGATTTTTCAATAGTATCAAAAGGACATGTTGTTAAGCTGGAATTGAATTTCCAAAATTTCAAAATACTAACATATTATGTTTTTTCGAAAATTTCACTACACATTTTCATTGTTATGATTAACATTTACGCGGTTTTTTGTGGATTTATAATAATAGCACTTTGTTTTTCATCTTCAGGTTGATCTTTGTCACCCCATCCCCAGATTTCATGAGTACCATCTCCAGTTCTCTGAACACGTTTTTTTATTACATCTTCGGAAACGGTTTTAAGATCATAAGCCCAACCTACGCGAGAGAAGAAGTCGATAAAAGCCGTTGTAAAATTGAAACTGTAGTTTCCAAGCTCGGAAGTTTTGTAATCCCAAGGGAAAACATGGTGATAATTGTGCCATCCTTCACCAAGAGCAAAAATAGCAACTCCTATGTTTTGAGCTGGATTAATGGATCTGCAAAAATTAGGTCGTTTAGTAAAAATTTTTTAAAAACATAATAATGAATAAATAAACTATATCAAGACTTGAATATTAAATTTTTGAGAAAATGAACTACTCACTTATCATAGGGTTTATTTCCAAAGAAATGAGCAGCAGAGTTTACAAGCCAAGTCATGTTCAAAGTGAAGGTGTAACGTAAAATCGTTGGTACGAAGAACGCATTACCAAAAGTCTCGCCCCAGAAGTACATTGGAATCACAGTAGGGATAAGAAAGCATACCAGTGGCATGACCAAAAGGTAGTATCTGGAAGGGCGAACGAACATGTAAATAAACATTTCCTTAATGAGTTTATGTTTAAAAAAAAAAACACTGTCATTTCGTACTTTTTCTGGAAAGCCAGGATAGGGTCACTATAAAGATCTGACAGATCAATTCCTTTTCCTTTTTCCTTTAACTGAGGATGCTTACGAACCAGCAACCACCCGACGTGGGCAAAAAAGAATCCTCTTGTAGCATTGTGGGGATCAGCATCAGTTTCGCTGTATTTGTGATGTACTCTGTGATCTCTTGCCCAGTCAATTACTGAATCCTAAGAAATACCAATTAATCTATTAAAATTATCGAGGAGTAAGTTTACTTGAACTATAATGCTTTTTTATGTACTTACTTGAAACGCAAGAGTGTTGAAAATTGTTAATAAAAGCCTCAATTGCCAAGTGGCTTTGTATGATCTATGAGCCCAAAGTCTGTGAACTCCTGCAGTAATTCCTAAACCACTCAACACGTACAGAAAATATGCTGAAAAATATTAAATTACAAATAAGATAATTATTTATTGTTTTACATAAATAAGTATGCGTAACCGCAATTTCAGTTACTTACCAAAAATAGAAGTGAGTAATTTAGCGGATGTAAATGCTAGATACAGTCCGTAAAGTGCTCCAGTGTGAAGAAAAAGGAATAGAATAACGTTTCTCCACACAATGTCCAATTTATATTGTTTCGGCGCTGGTTTTTCTTTTTCTTCTTCTTTAATCAGCATACATTTTTTTATTTCTTCCACAGTTTCGTTTTCAAAGAGAACGCCTGTAGGGGCATTGGTAACGTTTGGTGCCATTTTTGTCAAAAATCTGAAAAATATAAGTAGAGAAACCTTATAACACTCTTTTTTATGGGATAGTTAAAAATAAAAAAAAATAAATAAAAAAAAACGATCATTTGTAAGAGGAAATGACACAAAGTCTTTTGCGCGCTTGCAATAACCCATATCAATTATTCTACTTGTAATGTAGCATTTAAACGATTGGTCTGTGACGATATTGAAACGTACACACAGTTAATTTTTCTGTGTATCAATTAAATGGAGATAGCACTTTTTCCTTGAGTAATGCATAGACTTTGAAAATTTAATTTCAAACGACCGTTCTAGAACCAAAAAGCCATCTTCTATATTACCGGATCAGTATGTAACGTAACCATTTGCCAAGAAAAGAGTTTAGTATTTTATACAAATTTAATTAATCAATGATCTAAAATACACGGACGAGGTCGATGAATTTTCATGCTGCTACAATGTTCTTTGTTTAAATTCATTCAAAACATTACTACAACGAAGTACAACAGTTTTAGAATTAAACGTTAAAAATTTATCGAACAATGTACTTGTATATTTTTATTTAGCCGTTCATTATCTATTGACACAATTTGCAAATTTTTTTGGTACATTATTCGACGTAACACAGTAAATATTATGTGATAAGAGCATTGTATATTTCAACACGTTTTCTATTAATTTTGAAGTCGATTTTAAAATTATATATCGGTGCATACGTAATTAGCACAATAGCGAAATAGCAGTAATAATAATATACATTAAGGAAAACTGTCTCTTATAAATTGCCGAACGTACAAATACACATACGCACACACATACATAAATTACGCATAGAGCATAATCGTAAGCTGTGGCAAGTCACTTCCTTACTTTTTTCTTTTGAATTGGGTTACCATTCAAACATAAGAGCGATTCTTCTGAACCATTCAAATGTATTTGTAAAAAATATAACAATTGCTTCAACCTAAACAATCATGTATCTTATGCAATTTTATTGAGCGAGCGACGATTTTCCTGTTACATTCTGAACTTTCTTTTTTTTTCACATTAAATAAATGATCGGAAAAGTTAAGACCGAAGTTTCGAAAAAAATTATCAAGTTAATTATTAAGGGGTCGATTACGAATGATGAACCTTAAAAAATAAAAAAATGAGCATCAGTGCAAACGATTTAAATAAATATCAAGTATCACGCACTACAGAGTCAAAACTAAAACGTATCATTCAATTTTTATTACTTTAAATGACTGACAACAGATCAACTTCTTCATATTTTTAAAGAATGCTCAACTTTTCGACATTGCTTTGCGCAATGTCAATTTTTACTCATAATGAAGCACTTTAGCCAAAGATTAGCCATATTACACTTTTGCAATTAAAGTTTAATTAAATGAATAATTTTTGTAATTATTATATACTGCTGATTTAAAAAGTATTGTTAAAATTAAATCTTGCGTTCAGAACCGTTAATTCATTTTTTTATCGAATTTTTCGAAATAATTATTTTAATACGATTGAATTACGTCGTTATATAAGTTTCGAGCTGAAGTTGATTAGTATTGCATCTATGATGAAAGGGCTTTCGAAAAAAATTAAGTATTTTGTGATCTTAGAGTTTCAAATTATTTTTTTATAAAGTTTAGAATGTCTTTGTTAGTCTTGGAGCGCAGGTCGCTGACTTTTGTAACGTGTCGAAGCTACGTTGACTGCAGCCTTTCTTTACCCATGAAAAAAAGCGAGCGTGAACATACACGTATCATACGGACACGTAATGAATGTTCAAATAAACAATATTTTTCCTGTTCACAACTGATCTCGGTAGCGCTTCATGGAATAAAATTAATAATTTTTTCAAATGATTGAATAGTTGGCAAAAGGTACAATCAAAAAAGTATTTTTAAGCGTAACTTTTAATTACACCATTTATCGCAAGAAAAAGTCACGATTATCTATTCGTCTTTGCTTTCCAGTATTTTTTTCAACAGCTACAATACTTTTAAAAAATCCGATACGCATCCAAAAATAGTTTACACATATGGATGGTTTGACATTGAAACGAGTTGTTACATCAGCTTTATCTGATTTTTTTTCAAATTCAATCATGAAGTTTTCGTGCTGATACGAATATTTGATGATCTCATATCAAATGCAGATAATGGTTCACATGTTTTTTGATCGAGTGAACCCTTCACCGGATGGGTTAGTAGATCTGTATAATTGTGAAAATTAGTACGGAAAGCGCGTGTCAAGCAATCGATGACTTTTTGCTTGGCATAATTATTTGACTCATAATTGCGAGATTTTTGTCGAAAAGTTTGTATACTTTAACTTGTAGATAGAAAGTTTTTTGACCGCAGAGAGTAAGAAAGTAAATCACGAAAGTAAATCGAGTTTGAAAGTTACGTTAAGGAAAATGAGCTGTATTTTTGAGTCGACGAGCAGCAGCCGAGAGAAAAATCACGTAGAATTTGCCAGTAAGGACAAATTCATTCAGCGATGTAGACGTTGGAGAGCATGCCGGCTTAATAGTTCCGTCTCGCTCTTACACACGAGAGCAGCGTGAGGCTGTCAGTAGCCGAGCCGTTAGTCCGTCAGCCGACTCACCCCAACCAATAGGAAAGCTCTATTTCTCCGCGCCACCTGAATCGTGTACCGATATTTATGTATACATATATATTATGCTGCGTATATGAACGTAAGTATGTAGCCGAGTAGCGAGCGATGCAGCGCAGAGATATAGATGTATTTTATATATACCTATGTATATAATCGCACACGAAACGTGTCCCCCTCTTCGCGGATTTGGTGCACGTGTACGATCCGTTGTCGGGAGATGTAATGTTTTCGCGGCGTTGTACCGTATATAGCATCGCTTTCGCGATAATAATGGTATAGGTTTATTTTGCTTAAGCAAACGTATTGACGACATTTAATAATAGTATAAATACGAATCGACGAGGTGACAATTGGACGACCCAGACGACTCGCAGCGAGCTCGTTTCGTAAACGTAAACGTTCGGTCGTTCCGCTGCTGGCTGCAAAGTTATTACGTCTGCAGGCGAGCAAAGAGTAGGTGTCTCGAGAGACGAGCCGAGCCGGAGCGCCTGCAGCTGCAAAGGCATATGCGGCTCGGCGCGCTTGTAAACCTGGAGAGATATACACGCACGCACACACTTACACAGTCCCACACACACACACACACACACACTCACTCACAGAACACATACAACAGACGTAGCGTGATACCTGCGTGAATGCCTCGGATGTGAACACGTGTACTGCGCGCAATAGGACGCAACATGTATACGATTCTCTATTCTCGCCGCTACGGCTTACGAGGCTGTCTATCGGATGATATTTGCCTCCTCGTGGAGAGACAAGACAAGCACGATACGAGAAAAGAAATCCGCCCTTTTAACGTAGGGTTTCGCTCTCGCGCACTGTCGACTTATAACGTATCGCCACGAGCAAGGAAAATCCTATTAGTCGTCACGAGACGTCCCCCGTAGAAACCTGGTGAAATTGACCGCACGAGTTGCCTTATACATGCTGGCTCGCACGTTGTTTTATACTTGTAATAATATATAGCTCTCTACGTTATTATACATAGAGACGATGCAGTCTCGGTGGCACACAATAATGCTACTTGCAATGCACTATGGAGCAACGAGACGAGGCAAATTGCTCATTTTAGGTAGCGGCGACGACGACGACGACGACGAAAATTCCCAAGAAAAAAAAAGCGTGAACAGGTGAGAAAAACTTACATGAGCTTTTCAAGTTGTCATGAAAGGCCGATGGGTCGAGTCCTGGCTGCCGGTGCGGCTCTTCCTCTTGATTCGCTCTCGAGTCCGCGGAGAAGCGATGGAAATTGACTGACAAAGTCGATAGGATAACTAAACACGAGTCGCTGTTCGTTAGATGAGCCACGAGCACAAAGTTGTAACTCGCTGCTACTGCCAGTAAGTACTGCTGGTGCCGCTGGCGTTGACCGTCCGAGTTCTGACTTGTGACTCTATGCTGGCGCTGGATGAGTTTTCTCGCTCCGGCACGCAATGCGAGAGCTCGTGCGTTATGCTGCGTAGGCAGGCGCGCAGTTGTCTAAATCGAAAACTCGCGACGACGATCGGCCCGACTCACGACTGCGACTGCCTAAAGACTCGCGCTATAACCAATATATACGAAAAGAAAAAAAAGCGTAGTAGCTGCAGGAGGCGGCTAATAATATTTCCGCTGCACACGTATGTTTGTTGCGCGACGAGCTACGTTGGTGCATGTATATATATGCAGTATGCACACGAGCGCTTCGTCGCAGTCTCGTTCTCTCTCTGCGGTATGTGCAGGTATACGCGTTAGGTATACGTAGGTACGCGCCACAAGTGCGCACTAGTCAGTCGCTGGTACACTTTATACTTATTGCGCCGAGTGCCGGTCCGCGGGCTTATTTTCTATTGTCGCCGAGGCGCTCGCGCATACGCCGCTACGAATCCCCTTCCCATGGCCCGGCCTAGTCCTTCCGCTTGTGAACTTGAACGCAGCAGTTCACACCAACGCCACACACGCTCGCACCGACTCAGTACTCACACCGCAGCAGCAGCACGAGCGCCGTCTAATTCAATGATTATTCGATTTCGGCTGCTGCTGCTGCTGCTGCTGTTGTGCTATACGACACCCAACGATGATCGTCGTTTTTTTCACCAGTTTAATTTATTCGCTATTTTACTTTTTTTTTCTCCTGCTGCTGGCTGCCCGTGGCGTCCAATATAGCCTGCTTGTCGCATGGCGCTTCAATTTAGCGCTTCAATTTAACGCTTCAATCTCGCGCGCCTATTTGCCTGCATATTACATTTTCCTAAGCGATTTTTCCGAAATTTCCCACCTCCTCTATTTGCATCGACTCGATTGTTCAGTCTGGTCTATTGTTCGTGCATTCGCAACGGCGCGCGTGCAGCTCGCTACGTCGGCCGAGCCAACGCGTCGACTCGTCCCAGGCCCAAGCAGCTTACTACTATTGCGTACAAAAGGCATGATGCTCCTCTTTTCGCTCCTAAAATGCGATTGGACGACATGCCACCCGTTCGAATCTTTAGCTACGAGCGATCTAGCGCTAGAAAATTCTAGACCAAATTATCTTATCTTTTCGAAGCGTTCCTCCGACTTGTCTTACGTTACATATTTAGATTAGTTGGGTTTCGATGAATCTGCGCTCGACGTTTCCCAGCCAAGTTCGGCTACGCAATATCTCGGAGCGCAGCTCCGTGTCATTAGTATACTAATCACACGTGCGCTACTCGCTTCGCTGCGCAGCTCGTATTAACACGTGAATGCAAATTTTTCACTCGTGCGATAACTCTTGCCACATGCCTTAAACTTATAAGTAGAAACAATGATGCATAATTAGCAACTGCATAATCATACGCTTTTTTTTCTAATACTTCAAATACAATGTCTCGGGCCGAAGGTTATGAATCAATCATTTCGGCGGATTTTCTGAATATTAACGCCGGAATCGGCTGCCTATATGAATTTTTGCAATTCTATGCGCGCAACGCTCAAACTGTCTCTCTGACCTGACTCAAAATATGCTCGTCTTACAATATCGATCATCGTGCCGAAATTCAAATAATCCTTATCACTCGTACCAACTTCTCACGACAATTATCGCCGACCACGGATTCCATTCAATCATCATTTGTTCAAATGCGCCTCTTGCATCGCTTTAAACCTACAACATCGTTCAAAATTAACTATCGTCTAATTACCGATTTTTTACTCCTAGTATAAAAAAAAATGAAAGACTGAAAATCTGATATCTTAATCCATCGCATCTTCCTTGATCTTCAGATTTGAACTGATGATTTCACATTTTTGATACCGTAACAGAGTTGTTGAGTCACAAGGAAAAAATGTTCGATAATCAATGACGCTTTGTAAATTTGTCCAGTAATTCAAGTTGACAAATGAAAAACAATAAATAATCCTTGAAATGGACCTAAATCAAATGCCTCTTAAATGGTCACACTATAATTCTTAAACTGACTTTCAACACCATTTTCTCTGGAATATTTTCAAAATCTCGAACTTTATTTCATTTACGTATTGAAACGTTTGCCGGTATACCAAAAATAATGTATACCCTTTGTATTACTTTCAGACTAAAAATAAAAATAAAGAATTTTAATTCCAAACGAGGCTTCATATTTGACCTGTCAAATTTCCTGCAGAAGGACAAACCTAAAAGTGAAGTTTTCAATAATCGGTTTTCGAATATTTGAAAAAGTTTTACGGAAAGATTTGGTTTGGTGCGAAAGGGAAAACAAACATTAAATAAATTTGAAGAAATTGAATTCTGATGTTGGATCAATTTCCTAAGTTTAATTGGAATCCAGCAATATGTGGCCATGGTTCAAATTTTTGTTATCCATTCAAAAATGATTTGAACCGACGAGGTTATAAACTTTTATTGTTTTTCTTCTTTAAGAAAGTAAATATGATTAATATTATTGTTTAGCTACAATGATAGAAATAAAAATCTAAAGCCAAGAATCGTCTAAATCTTGCAGCTTGGAGTCTTCTCGCCGCAAGAATCACTCGATTATTGCCGTAAAATCGAGATAATTCTTGGCATTAGATTTTATTTCTATCAATGTATAGACTTTATTTTCTTAATTGAAAAATAGTGCATCAATATGCCCTGCATTTTGCGCACTAGAGCGTGAAAAAAATCCATAATGTACGTATGAAACATCGCGCGAAAAATGTTGGACACGTGTCGCATAAACAAATTTAAAACTTTGAATGGCTTAAAAGCATTTTTGTTCATGAACTCAATTATTACACCCATGTTAGGTAAAACTCATTGAACAGATTAGGCTGCGGTCAAATTTTAAAAGCGCATAAAATCACACGTCACACCGAGAATGGGTGATTCCAAGGCAGCATTCACATCTAATGTAGAAAAGTGAGCTTCTTGCGACAATGCGAGTACATTTACAATTTGATGAAAAAAAACATGTTTATAAAATATCTGAAAGTTGGAAAAAGGAAAAGTTGATTATGCAAAGTCGTACGTTTGCTACAAAATGTTTTCGATGAACGGGTGATAGCTGCAAGTCGCCGGGATAAATATCGAACGCGAGTAATTTTTATTCATCAAACACGTCGCTTCATCGTCTGATTGGTCGAGCGTTTCCTGCATCAACTCCACCATCGGCGGCGGAACTATAATCATGTTCATGAAGCTCTAGTGCATGAGCTGGCGCGAGCACGGGATGCGAGCATGGGTACTGTCTCGATCGCCAACGCTGCAATTTATGTTATACATTACACATAGAATAAAATTCCGAAACGAATGCAAGACGTTGGCTTATCTTGCCATTTTTCGCCCGTAAAAACACGCAATGCTTGGGTAGCCGCGCAATCTGCAGCTTGCACGAGCGATCAAGTCTGTCCACAGAAGTACTGGAAAACTTTTCATCGCAATTGCGCACGTGTCTTACTACATTTTGTTGTTATCAAAAACCAAATGACCTCTCACAGTCCGTCTGCCCTTGCTTTTTTTTTAAGATTTTCGACACACAGCACTCACTGTACTCGAAATTGTATTATGTTCACTTTTCACCTTACCGGGCAATAGACGTTTATAAATAAATCTCAAGAGTCCAATATCTATAATTGCTCATTTCGGTAGGCGAGCGCTAAAATAATGAAGCTCTTATCAGTCATTGACAAAATTTCCGCCACTGTACGCGAAATGAGATAATACGCGGTACGAGCGCAATAATGACGCGATCAATCAACGTCATATGAGACGCAAATGCTGCTGCTCAATACATGCATTTATTTATAACTTGCTAGCTTTTTTTTTCTTAGCCGGACTCTCGTGATACCATCGGTTTGGATGCGCGATTAAATTATTATTCGAGCCACGAGGGGACCATGCATCCCTCATTATTTGCGCGTCTTAATGAATTTTAGCTCAAATCTGAGTTATCTGACTTTTGTTTTTATATTAAAATCAACATGAGGCAGTGAAACGTACTATTGTAACACATCTCGATCACGTGTCGATTTAACAGAAAATTCATAATCAAAAAATTAAAAAACTAGTCAATATATTTAGGTATTTCTCTATTTAATTTCCTCATTTGAAGCGTATGTACGTCTGTCTATCCGGTAACGTTATTTATTTGAAAATAAGTGGACACGAAGTACAATTTGTGTCTCATTAGAATACTTGAAATTTGCCTCTATTTTATTTGAACAACCATGAGACATCTCACGAAACCTTTGCAGATATTAACGAGTCACGCAAACACTGATTCGTACTTTTCCCTGTCAAAAATCATCTTCAATTTTTTTTTATTTCTCTGACTCAAAAAAGATCCTCAAAGCAAACATTAATATTTTCGTATCTGCTGATGGAAATTATGATGTACTGCATCTTCAACTTTATAACTGATTCATACTGCGCTTTTTTTCTCTTAAATTATACAATGATGAAAAAAATGTCACTATATATTATCAAAATGCTAATTGTCACAATTAAAATTTATTTGGTTGTACGCGCGTAAAAATATGAAGTTCGTATAATTCGGCATTTGTACAAACATAAAATTCGGCTCATTCGTTTTTCTCTTTTCATTTTTGTTAGAATTTTATTGTATTAATTTTATGTTGTTACGGCTAAAATATCGATTGTCACAAACAGTTATTTCTGCTGTTAAACCAAAACGTCTTTTGGTATTTGTAAGTGCATCAATGATATCAAAATAATTGCATTAAATAATAAGCCGATAGATTATTTTTTAATTTAATCTTTTTATTGATCTCTTTACCACTCACAATATCCGGTGCTGGTGCAATTTGATTTGATCGAAAAGAGTAACGATCTACTGTTCTTATTGAACCAATTACATAAATTTCCTTAAATATAAAAATGTCACGATGTAAAAAAAAATAAATTAGAAGAATAACTATTGTAATTAAAAGATTGATTGGTACTTTGCGTTTAATTATTTACAAAATTAAAAACTAATTGAAGGATCGCGAAGAAAAAATTGAATCAACCCATTATAAAAAAGATAATGAAAAATTCGAGAAATAATTAAAAAATTCAAGATAATAAATGTTATACAACGTATCTGTACCTAGTGTATGAGCAATTGATAAAGTAGCTTTCTGACTTATTGCTTTGCTTACAGTCTACATGGTAGAAAGTTTAAATCGATAAACCCAAGTTTCAAACGCTATACTTCTGTGATTAGTTCTAATATCCTCGTGAAATAATTAATCATGGAATAATTATGAATTATTCCACGATTAAATATAGTGAAAGTTTACTCGATTTTGATACAGAATAAAAGTACGAGAAATAGTGTGACTCTTGTGATGAAGATTTTCGAATAATTAAGTAATAATAGAATAATAATTTATCCAAAAAATCATGTTATAATATTGATAATGATTAAAATATGAGCTTTAAATGGCAACAAATGTAAAAAAAATAGCCTGATTACTACAATTTTCAAGCGTAAGTAAATTAAAAAATTCTTACGTCTTAGTTCGTAAGGTCTTTATGCAGGCAAAGTTCAAGTTTAAAATCATAGCTAACAATATTCTGGCGCACTAATAAAGCAAGCGCAAACGGTGCGCCTGTGCTATAGAGTGCGGCGATACGACCGAGCAAATGTGTGGGAAATCGTGATGTAGGTCTGTGTGCGTGCGTGTGCGTGGAGATGGAATTGAACCTAGTACAGCTGCCACCTCCGCAGAAGCCACGATGCTGTGCTCTGCCTGGTTCACGCGCGCAGGGGGCTCAACTGGCGCATGCTCGCGAATCGTCGCCGTCGACCGACGTCGCGGATCGCGCGCGCGAGGCGCCTGCAGCACCTATAATACATGTACACAGGTCCGAGAAGAAAAGCTCTGGCGAGCAGTCTCAGTCAGTGGAGCGCGCGCGACTCACGTGTACTCTCGTGGCATGTGTTTTCCATTAGGTGCGACCAGCTACTCCTCGGATATCTATTCGTTTTTTTCTTTCCTATATTTGTTTTAATACGCTGCTCGAGAATAGAGAGCTTTTTTCAACTGCTTCCGTGGCAGACTCGGTAAATCTTTCCACACTTATTTCAAGCACTGGCTCCGATTAAACAATAAAATCCTAAATATCTCAATTAAATCGCCAAAGACTTGAGCAATTTGGCGCTTGTTATTAATAAATTGTACTTGTCAAACTTTGAGATGATACTTGCAACTGTAGAGAATAAGAAGAAGATGTGATAGCGCAGTAGAATGTTAATACGGAATGCACAGTTATTATTACTAGGTTTGGTGAGTGATTGGTATATTAAATATGAATTGGAATAATTTGTAACTAATCAAGTTTCGTCGAAAATGGCTGATCTTGAAGATTGGATATCAAGTATGAATCAAGCGAAAGCTCTTACTGCTGCTGCCACTCATCGCAAGCTCGTAGATTCCCATCAACAACAGACACTCATCGACATGTTGAATTATTCCGTAAGTTGAATCGAGTTGGCCCGAAAAAATAATTCATCGTTCAAGTGAGCGAATTCGAGACTGAGTCGAGTTAGTACAAACGAGTGGATGTTACACTTGATCAGTCGTCAAAAGAATAATGCACGAATCTTCAGCAATACCCAAATCCCGAAGAGCCAGACGAAAGACTCGCAGAAGATCAGTATTTCAGTTATTTACAGTGCTTTTGCTCTAATGAATCCTAATTGAATCCTTCACCGAGTGCCAAGTTTCGCAGTTTTTTCTATGCATATTGCTAAAAGTGATCACGCCGATTTTTGTGTGCATATTTTCATTGTTTCTTGTGGAGCAGTTTTGTGCCGTGCGTGATATCAAAAGTGCTAGTTGAAAAATTCAAAGGTGCGCGAGATTATTATCATATATCGTTGTGTTTGTCCTTGGCCCAGGGAAAAGAGCTGTGTTATCGACGAAAAAAGAGAGGCTGATATTTTCAAAGAAATTTTAAAAGGTTGGTATGATGGCTCAACGTCCGTTAATTTACAAACTATTATCTAACGATTGCAGTCAAATTTCACGTGAGCTCGAGATTTTTAATCCGCGAGTAAAGTGACGATCCATCGTAGAATCGAGAGAGTTGTTAAATTTTTTAACTTCATCAAAGTTGCAAATGTAACTTAAATTATCAAAGTCGAATTGTCGTATTGCACCGATGGTAAAAATACTAATTCCATCTTTAAGTTTTTCTTTCGACTCCGCAATTATAAAGACTACAGAACCGCGTTGAAATGAAATTTTTATTCTGACTCTCTGCAAGCCCGTTGCCATGTATGTACACATATATACACACAGAGTCAAGATGCAGCTAAACTTTTTGTTGAGCACGAGCTTTAAAAGCGCGCATGCACACACAGAGGATTTTAATCTTTCTGATGTGCCGCGCGCTCGACCGTCATGCTACGACAAAAGTGAATAAAATTATTATAAGATCTCCTATGAAGATTACACGTTTTTTACCGCCTAAAAAGTCTCTTAATTCGTCCATCTACTGCTATTGCTGTAACCTGAATGCAGTTGAAATTTAAACGACGAGTTTTCGTCGTACATTTGCAATTAGATGGCTTTAAAAGTAATCATCTAGTAACTCCACTTCCATCGGTTTTTTTACTCAAAAGTGATTATGACGTTTGAACAATTCTTGAACATATCCAATTGAATGGAATAAGGAGGTTAAAATCTATCTATCTGCCGCATTTTCTTCCATAATCGAATCACCATTGAATAAACCCATTGAATCAACGAAGCGCTAATTGAAAGTATGTATCGTTTTTGTTAGCTGGAGTCTCATCGTTACAGCTTCAGCGATTTGCATCGAGTCTTTTTTCGTGCGCGCATCAGTGGCACATCAATTAAATCTATAGGAGCATATTTACTCGAACCTCGCTAGTATCAGCAAAGCAGAGAGATAGAAAGCTTCCAATAAGGTCATTTTTTGCATGATAATTGAGCATTCGAGGAAGCTCTGGTAAACGTTGAATTTTACATTTCATAGAGTACCATATCAGCGTTAACAGGCATCTATTTATATATAGTACCACACACACGTACACATGAACGTGCGCTATTAATCCCTCCTTCATTTATTTACATGAAAGTAGAACGGTATGTGCAGCTGCAGCCTCGTATTTCATATATTTACAAATGCACGCACTTGATCATTCTCCCCCTTCCTCGTATTCGTCCCTGAATTCATCGTAAACATCTGTATAAAAATTCCCGAGCTTTTGAATTATTAATGAGAAATTTAGGAAAGCTCGGCTTGAATTAAATCAATAATCTTTTTTAATATTTTTATTTGCACAAAGTAATAAAATATGAGCAACGAAGTAAGTGAGTATACTTTTGATTGTAGTGATTTATTTGAAATTTTTTTTCTACTATTAGAAATGGAAAAACATCGGCAATACTTTCTTCCATTTTTCGACATAAGCAATCGGTACACTGCAGTAAGAGAAATTTAACTACTAATAAAGCTAATTGTTTATTATTCTCTAACCGAGGATACATAAACTGTCCGCAAATTAAATTTTATTACCAAAGCGGCATACGTTAGGCCACCCGCGCATACAAATCAGTAGATATAAATACTCGTGGCAAGCAAGTTGTACTCGTCGCGTTACTCCAATTCACTTTCTAGTATCAATTTTGAAATTAACGAAAAATACTCACGATATAATAAATCCATGAACTAGCTCTATTTGCAGTATTAGCATAGCTCTTAAAGTAAACAATTGATGATGGGGTGATTTTTTTGGCACTAAGATTACCAGTATTTCTCTCTGATGTAGTCCACGGTATTTCTTTAATACATATAAAAAAATTTGATTACGTGAGTATAGCAGTTTTTTTGCATACGTTTTTTTATGAGAGAAAGCATATAATAAAGCTCGCACCTTTGCATTTTTGGAAATATTTCATTTACGCGTTGTTAACGTCATTATAAGAAATACATGTTCATGGAGAAATTATTACATGTTGAGTGACTCAGTATTTAACTTGAGATTTATAGAAAATATTTTTCTTGAGTTGACTCGTTTTTACCTTGTATAATTAGACATCTGTTAAAAACTTTTTACAACAAACGGAATCCAAAATATCTTATCAAGTAATGAAGCAGCACTCAAGATGGTTTAAACGTTCCATTACAGAAGAATTAATCAAGTGAATCTTTAATCAGTGCGTTCCGTTTCGAAGTTTAGTACATCTGAACTTCATGGAGAGTAGGGGAGAAAATAAAAGTACGGGCTTATTAGCGGTGCAATTATTCGAGTTTCACCGATATAAATTCATTCATGTATAGCTACGGGTATCTACACGTTCAACTTTTTCCGTTAATCATGCTGCTGCGAGAATACAAGTATAGCCTGTACAGATATAGGGTGAAAATAACCGCGTCTGTAAATACTCAAAGGCAAACTTCCTACACTGTTTACAAAAGCCGCTATTATTGGCGTTTGCGCGCGTAAGGCTTATACGAGTCTATAACTAATAAATAGCATACGTGAAGTAATGCACACACGTACGTTTTACAGCCGAGTACGTTTTGAGCCGGTAGCGTGAAAATCGTGCCGAGACTCAATGCCAATTCTTTTTCTGTCAGGAATTTCATCTACTAACTTATAAATAACCGATTAATCTCACCCGAAAACCCATTGTTTCGAGTTTGTTAAACTTTTTCATTTTTTCGCATACTTTTTCATGAAGTGAAAATCAAACGTGAGATTTCTTTCAAAAGAAAATTTCATTAGACGATTTGGAGGTCTCTTCCAAAATGTAGATAACGTTTTTAAAACCCATTATTTGCCTTGAAACTTTTTACTATGAATTTTAATGTTAAAATGCAATTTTTCACCGTGAAATTTTGTTGGAAAATGATACACATTTTGCTCTTTTAACTTAGTTTCTTAATAGAAATCATGAATTTCCGACTTTAAATAAACAAAAACAGAATGTCAAAAAATTAACAAAAAAATAAGTACGTATAGGAAATTTAATAACGAATAACTTGACCCCTCGTAAAAAAATATGACAAAAGTATGGAAAAAAGTGTCGCAAAAATCTCGCTTATAAGCCTGAGCGAGATAGTTACCACTTTTTTTTTAATTTTATATTTTTTTCATTCGTGTATAATAAAGCGTACACTCGGTCAAAAACTAAGGTAATCCGACGACTTTCAAAGTATTTTAAGGTTTTAAAGTAGTTTAAAAAAATTTGTGAAAAATCTCGTTCAGGCTCATAAGTAAGACTTTTGTCACGCTTTTTCCCCCATACTTTTGCCACTTTTTTACAGCTGGGCCGTAACAATCTCATCGACGGTTTGATTATCGAAAAATTAATTGTTGCATATAATAAATTTGTTGGTCATTAGTGCGTACCCCAATTAACAAATGAGCTAATAATACGTGCTCATTCAATGAAATAATTATTAATAATGTCTATAAACCTGTCATACCGTGTTATTTTGTTGGCAGTTCTGATTTTTCAACACGCTGAAATAAGAGCCCCTTGCATATCTCTGTCCCCCTTCTGAGACCCCCGAACAATATCCTTTCTCATTCGCGTTGTTTATTACTGACAACTTTTTTTTGCAGTAATATCAATATATGTTATAGATGAGAAACAATAATCTTAGAAATTGAAAGAAATGTAAGAATTATAATTGTCAAAATACAGTTTGACATTGAGCAATGGATTTTTATTTATTCAGTGCGTACACTTTGCGAAAGCTTTAAAATATACATATAACTAGGCTCTGCAGCAGCAGTTGCAATGGCAACCCGTACAAAACGGAATAACATGCAGCGAATTTTACTTTTATGAGAAAGCGAGGGAGGGAGTGAGGGAGGGAAGGCGGAGATCAAGGAGAGAGCAAAGCACAAACTCTGCAAGACTTTACGATGTTTTCAATCCGTTGGAATATTAAATGATCTAGCTCGGAACATTCAGTGGCGCATATGGATACGATCTGCGAATGTTTCCTAATATGCTCCCTCGGCTTGTATCTAGAGTGTGTTTTTATTCAACATTCCAACTTATGTATGTAAAGGAAAAAGCACAGAATTTCAGCAAATATGAGCGATTGTGTACTAAAAGAATGTGTCGAAATAACATCAACAAATGTAACTCGTTGCACGGGGCATTGATACTTACGACTTGATCGACTGCCCAAACTGCGTCGAAATTTTCTTCATGTTTATAAGCTATGATTTACTTACACGGATTTCCTTTTAACCTTCTGTATTAACACTTGCATTTCACGCTGGGAGCAACACTTTTTTTAGATTTTTGTCATTTTCATAGCTGATGATTAATTTTAAAATTAGATTCATTTTTATCGCAGTTTATTTAAATAAAAACTTCAGGGTTTATTCACAATTTATATATTTGCACTTAATTTTCTAAATAATTAATCATTTTAACTAGCTGGGATTTTTTTTGAAGAAACAGGTATCAAGTGAAAACTTATTTTTAATAAGTAGCACTTTTTGATCTGAAAAAAATATTATTTGAAGTTACAATTTATAAAATCTCGTGTTTTTATAGTTTTACGACTCGCAATAATATTATATTTTATTGGTTTATTATTGGATGTGTATCACGAACAATTCGATTGCAATCACCTTAATAAATGTAATATAAAGACTTGTATACAACAAAAAAATAAAAGAAAGGTTTCCTCATAAATAAGTAAGGTTGGCAATTTTACGAGTACCTGGCAACAAGCCAGCAAAGTACTTCGTACGCGCATAGTTTTAACGCGGTGTGAATATTATGGCCGTTTATACATATATACCAACAAAAAGAGAAGCAAACTTTTTTTCATCAAGTATAGTGTTATGAGATATTTTTTTTTTTAATATCAATTAGCTTTTTGCTGCTATATAAATAACATCATTGATGAATTGATTGAGGTCGTATAATATGAACTACTGATTGATTGGCTATGATGATAAAATAAAAATGATATAAAAAACGCTTATACACGTTCCCCTCATTTATGCGTAGAGTGATATGAAGAATTATAATGTACTTAGAATTTTTACTATGCTCGTGAACCAAATTTACATTTTATCCCCTTGCGCTTTCCATTATTCTTGCATGTGTCCATTTCACTGGAGTTTTAATGAAAAGGACGATGCCCATAAATTGTAATACCTTGTACAATACAAAAATGAGAGCATAAAATTTAATGGCACATCTAAGACGTACTCATTTGGTCCAAATCCCAGCCCAGACATTTCAAGGCAAGAGATTATTTGAATAAAATATCATAATTCAATTTTTACTGAGCAACATGCGCATTAAACTTGAATCGTTTGATTTCAACTGTTGACCTACTTATAGTATAGCGTTTCAAGACCAAAAGATGAAAAATCGAATTGTGATTCCAGATGGAAAAGTTAAAAAAACTCGTATCAACTCGGTAAAATCAAATCTAAAATAGTTCCTCCTTCGCCACGTGCACGATTATATTTTTTTTATTAAAATCATTTTTAAGAACTCTCAACAATAATAATACATTCTATTAATGATTTTACAACGCATAATAATTAATTAATTTACCTTATTTTCCAATTAATTACGTTAGTCTCAATTTGCAACTATCTGTTTCCCCATAAAAAAATCACAGTTATTTTATTTTTTTTATTTTTTTACGAATGTCAACATTATATATTAATTATTTAAATAAAAAATGCTCAATAAGCCCATAAATAATGAATATATAATATATAATGGTATATGATAATTAATATGTACCCTTGACAAAAGCAAAAAAATAACAGAATTAAAATCAACGCGATTTTTTAAAGGGAAACAGATATTTTCACATAAAGTCGCGATTTGATAATAACAGTTGTCCCTCCACGAATAAGCTTAGTCGTGAGGAGTATACCATTGTTAAATTTAACGTGTTTACTACCGAAATTAATTTTAGATTAATAATGCGTTTATCTCTTGGCCAGTGTTTCAACAAACGCCGTCGTGACCCAACGGGCATCCTGTCGCCAGTTGAGCCATGTCAAGTCTTAGTACATAGGTGATGTATAGTATATTCGTGATCACATTATATTTATGATCTCCTCTACATGTATGAGCAAATCTAATTGATACTAAAAACTCATAAGTACATGCAGTCAAACTTTAACTCTATTGTCAAAGTAAAAATCATGTTGTAAATCGATAACTTGATTAAGATTTAAGCGTTCGTACAATATAAATCGAGGAACGCAATAATTTGCATGTTTTTACAGCGATATCTACAAAAAATCAAAAATCATTTGACCATAACTTCCACTAAGATGCCGAAATAAATTAAAAATGTTTCAACGGTACAATATACCTTTTTTATCACAGCGTGCGGGAAGTACGTAATTCCCGAGCAGTACTGTAATAACGATACTTCTCGAAATTACATGCTTCCCGCACGGCTGAGCGTGCGGGAAATAAAAACTTCCCGCAACTCGTGATAAAAAATAGTATACGTCATTCGTGCGCGTGGTGATTCTCGCCCTCGTCTCATTGTCACCCTCGCTGCGCTCGGGCGTCAAACTGAGACTCGTGCGAGAATCACCCACTTCGCGCACGAGTGACGTAATGTACTATTCCCTTAGTTACAAACATATGAACACCATTCAAATATAAAACGCGATGTTAAGAACATTTTACGATGTCACTGAACGACGTGCATACATCGTTGCTAATATACAAGTATTAAATTGATTTAATTCAATTAAATACTGCCACTATTTGCGGATTTACCCATGTATATGTACAGATATGATGGAGGTATGTATATATTTCGTGAAGTAACGATGTCTGCCCGAGCTTTTCACATTTAGCGTCAGAACATCGCTATTCCATCACACGCCTTCGCGTCACTGCACATCTCATCGATTTTGGCCATTCCGTATTTACGTATGAATTTCCGTTTCAGTGATACCCAAAATGTTGGAACGTTGGAATTTTCCGAAGTGTAATACGAACGATAACGGTTTTATTGCGGTTACTTTTTTGGATAGAGACTTATATTGTACCATTATGGTGTTGATTTCACCTCACCCAGCTGTATTTTTGATGTTTTGGGCTGAGCAAAGAAATATACGTAAATTGAACAACATTTTCCGGGAATATTATGCAATGAGAACTATTTATCATTGGTTCCAGTATAATTCGTGCTTACGTATACGAATTTATTATAGTCATTGACTTATTTATTAATTAAACTAAATAGATGTTGCTAGAATTGTGCAAATATTGAGCGGAAAAAATATAAAAATTATAATTACATTTTTACCGGAAAAAATGAAAAGTAAACTTTGAAAAATGGAATACCTTAAGAAATGTGTTTTTCTTTCTCGTTCGTTTTTATTCTCGAAAAAAGGGCAAAGAAACAGAAAAACTTGCAAAATTGAAGCTTCAGTTATCGAAACTTGGGAAGAATAAGGCTAAAAATGTACACATTAGGAATGTCTTAAAATAGACTTGAATTATCTATCAGAAAATATTGACAGACTGCTACTTGCATAACTGACTCAGACACTAAATATATCGCAGAATTATCGCTAACTACATTCGTAGAAGAGTTTATAAGAAAAGTCCGTACATAAGAAAATTCGGTAGAGATTTTCTGCTAAATTTTTTTAAACTAAATATAATACGTAAATACTTATAATTGCGAAACATTGGAAAATATTTTCAATACTCGTTGACAGATGCATATAATTTATAAAACGGTTATATGAAACTTTTTCGCTTGATGAGAAGCTTTATCGTTAGGCGTTAGTATAAAAAGTTTATGTAAAATATGTTGGAGCGGCTAGACAAAGTTTTAATACTTGCACTAGGGCTCTTAAAAAGCTGCAAGTCCAAGTTTTCTTTTCAACTTAATATAGGTACGCGTAAAAGGTACGCTTCTACCGTGTGTCGTTTTTGTGCGGGAATAAAATCGACGTTGAAATATGATGCTTGAAACTTAATGCGATATGGTTTGTCAGCCGACCCTACTTATACCTGTATATAATTGAGCCAGATTTCGATTTTTATATAGTGTATCGAGAGATATATTACACGCTATAGCATAATGCAAACAGTCTCATCGATTTTACATGTTACGGCACTCAAGCATTTAATTTTTCCTGCCGGACGCAAACTCGAGGCTAAAAATGAAGCTGCGGAGGTGGCTTTTGATCCTACGTGATAATTCGTTGGTCCATGTGATATTACATTAGTTTTTATATCGATGATAAAATTGCACCTCACTTTCACACTTTTTGAATTGAAAAACTCGTTAAATAGTTACGTCAAGGATTTCACTTTTTTTAAATTTTCGTACATTTTCTTTGAGGCCCCTCGTAAAAAATCATCGTCTATCTCGGAAAATGTTGACTGCAATTGAAAATATTCAAATATGGATGCATAATCGTTGAATATTATTGATTTTGTTTAGGAAAAACATCGATCATCTGAGAGAGACAGCGAAAATGTGAGAGAGAGATATGTCAAGTAGGTTTTCTGGTCGCTGCTCGAGGCATCGTTGTATCGCGCGTCTACGGATGAGATGACCCGAGTCGAGCTTGCAACTGGGACGCGTCAGTTGTGCAGTAGCGTCGTCGTCGTCGTCGTCGTCGTCGACGAACTTTACCAGCGACTCGAGACGGCGACAACAGCGGCAAGGACCGATGAACAGCCGCTCGTCGTCGCTGCTCGACTGCGAAAAAGCCGCGACGTCGTCATCATCTGCGTCGTCGTCGTCATCGTCATCGTCATTGCCGTCGAAACGGGAGAGCAGCTTAGGCCACGCAAAAAGCCAATAAGCTACTCTTGTTACCAGCAACAAAGCCAACAACAACGCATCCAGGCGTAACATGCCGAGCATCCTCCGTCAAGGTTTGTTTACTTTCTTTATCGACTTTTATCCTAACTGTAGCGAGCTGCGTCTTTTCCAATTATTATTTTAGCGCGTTCGTAAATTAAATCGACGTTGCCCATCAAACGAGTTAAAATTATTATCATGACAATCCTCGCACACAAGGTAACAAGCTGCCGATGTGCTTGCTTTCTGTTCAAAAATTCACACTAAAAATAAGGGAATACCAACTAGCGAAACAAGAGTGCTTATAAAATCCACAAAGCCCATCTTTACAGCATCATAAACTCATTTCACTGAAACTATCGGATTGCTCCATCAACGTTTTTTATCAATACTTCGAAACTTGCCGCTGTTTGTTTCCATGGAAACTTCCAAGTCTCTTTTTTCAATATTGTTTCAGAATTTTCTTTGACCAAAGTATTAGTGGCATCATTTTAGTCTGCACTTGCTAGCTGGCTTCAAAAGTCTAGAGTATCCTGCCTCAGGATTCTTGAGAGCAACTTTTCTGACTCTCAAATTATGATGAAGTTATCGTTTTTTAAACCTTTTAAAATTTTCGATGAACGGAAAAATTTGTTTTTGATACAAAATTGATTTAAGAAAATGGACGAAAAAAATTCAAAATTTTTTCAATACAATTTTTACAATTATTGAAGTTGAACGTACAATTGCGCAAGAATAGATGAAAATAGAGAAGTAAAAACATATCTATGTGCCGGAAATGTTTTTGGAGTCTTTTTAAACGGCGTGGGTATACGTGAGTGGAAGGGAAATAACACGAGGCTCTGTCATGCCACATATGCAAATAGCAGCTTGTGCTACGAGGCACGTCGTAATTTTTCAGCTTGTTTTATTCATGCGAAGAAATGCTTAACCGCAAAATTAATTTTTTTTTACCCGGATAAACAAAAAAAAAAAAAACAAGGACCAAAAGTTTTGTGCGAAAACCTTTTTTTTTACTGCAGGACAAAAAATTTGCAGCAGAATAAGAAAACGAACACACCGCGTGTTCCTCTACTCGTGTCCTCGCGCTAAACAAAATAAACCGCTAGTAAAAGCAAAGGCTGCAGATGCGAGTCAGAGTTTTGTCGCACGGCTTACAGAGTAGATGTGGCGGCCACGGCGTTCGGAGTTTGGTGTCCTGTTTTCGTTCTCGCAGCTAAAAAAGAAAAAATTCGAGAGATACTGGTGGAAGGCCTCCGAGTCGAAGTGCTCGAAATACGTGTAAAGGAGGATGTCTCGCTCGAGACAGACACTTGGCTTGCTTTCGCCAAATAAGAAGGCTTAAAAGTAAAATATAAGCTTAAAGAAGATAAATACGAGTCGATACTACCCGACGTGATATAAGGAGCGAGGAGGCTGCCGAGGGTGGTTAGACAGTGTACAAGCCGCGCACTTCACGACTGCACTCAACTGAACAATAGTCGCCTAAATACCCAAGAGCCGGATGAAAAACTGACAAAAGAAGCGTATTCCTCTATCTACGTGTTGCAATGTAGACCTAAATTCTTGTCTATGACATGTATACAAGTACATCGGGCGCGAGTATCTGCGGATGAAAAGATATTAGTGCTATACCTACGACTGGCTTCGAAGACAGAAACATATTAATGCTGAACACGTGACTTCATTCGTATCGACATTCGCAGGAATAATAAATAGCTTCGATCTTGATGAAACCACGTATCGCGTTTGCACTGATCCATATTCATGTGTAATGTGTGCCATATTGCTCCGAAAAACTGCTCGATGAGCTATGAGTTGAAGTTATTACGTGAGTTATTTGTAGGAAGCAAAAATTGACCTCGCCAACAGACATTTATGAATTGTGATGCCGCTTGGGCATGGCCGCTGACAAATTCAATTCCGATGCTTTGAAAATTGTTGGCCTATTTTGACGAATAAACAATATTTCATCGCATGATGAACAGCACGATTAAAAACTAAAAGATCCATCAGCTTGATGTAAAAAGTACGAAAGTTGGTAAAAGTACAAAACGCATCAATTGGTAATATTTTGCAGCTGAGCTAGTAATTTTTATCCATAGCGCAAATCATCATCTATTCTTGAATATGCGAAGATGTCTAAGAAACGAATAAGTATTTACGATAGAATCAATATCAATTACAATAGAAAGAGTTGTTGTTCTAGGCCTTACACGAGCCCCGAGTCAAATGATGCAATTTAATTTCAAGTCAAGGATTTAGAGTAGTGAAAAAATTGTTGTTTTTTTCTATCAAATATTTATTTAAATCTAGCAGAGTGAAATAAATATAAATGAAGTAAGAAAATTATCGAATTATTTGAGGATAGCTGGGAGCAAGCTAACTTGCATCTGTTATTAACGAGGTTTCGATACACAGCAGCCCATATAATAGTACGACTGCGCAATTTAATCGATTATCGCACAGGTATCCGTGGCATGTGCTTTTCAAACACCCTTAAGCTACGCGCTGACTTTCTGCCTATAACTACACGATCGAGTTGAATTAGAATTCCCCACTTTTTTTACCCACTATCTCGCAAAGCTCTTCCTTTTCGATGCTCTGCATATTTATGCGCGGGCTACTATTATATTCATATGAGAATTCAACAATAGGATCATCGAGGGTAGCGTTGCTTCTCCGCTGTTTTTTTTTATTCTGTTTTAGCTCTTACGTTTGCTTCGCGGTTTATGCAACACATTGCAGCATATATGTTATAACTGTATCGGTTTGACTGGCGAATTAAAAAAAGTCCAAGGCAAACTGAAATGCGACTGAAATGCATCACTTGGAAAGGGACGCGACAATTTCGTCACCGTTTAGGAAAAATAAAACATGAAAATTGGCGCGAAAAGATTAACGCCGAAGCGAGGCAAAAGTAGCTTTTCGCGAGCAGCAGGGCGTATAGTTGCTGAATAACGTGTATGTGTGCCGCAGAGCAGTACCAAAGAGTGCTCATTTCCTCTTCATTTACGCTTGGTTTCCCGCCTGTTTGTGACGTCGTCGTCGTCGTCGACGCGCAACAAAAACGCTTCTACCCTCTTTCTCATTCTGTACGTGCGTATGTCTGTGTAGCCGTGTGTTTTACTCGAACGCGAAGAAAGTTTTTTTCTCCCAGCAACAGTTTGCACACTTTGCGTCGTCGAACAAAAAATTGCTGAAAATGGAGCTTGAAATCTTGGTCGCGGAAATGTACGACTCGAGTGCACACAAGGGCTGCCACACGTTGTAGCCAAACATGATAGGATATAATGCGCGTTCCGCTATTGTTGCAGCTCGCGCGAATCAAGAGAAGCTGCAAATGTTGCCAGCTTGCACCTTCGCCATCGTGTCAATGGAGTATTTATTATATTATATTTATGCACAAAAGCGATGGTTGACACCATCGACATTATATTCATATAATCTACCATGCACGTCGTGTACTTCTGCGTTACAAATTCTTCTCAATTCCACTTCGACTGTGCTGACTTTTCCAGCAATATTCTCACGTACTCGAATGCACTATGTCATAAAAAAAATGCTGTTTATATGGATACATCTAGGACAGAGTCAGGCATAATTCAGAAATGACCTGCATCAAGGGCCTGCTGCGCTTTTTATGTTACTCTTGCAGGCGTTGAACTTGCGGGCTGTATCTGGCACGATAGCTCCAGAGTAATGTGTAACAATGTCGAGTATTTGAGCTGTGATCACGCGTACTCGGATCCGACGACAGGTCACTTATGTCCTAATTCATTCAGTACACACGAGAACTCGCAAGCTCGACACACGTCCACGGCTTTTGTTTCGATAATTTTTCAACTCATCAGATTCAAATCTGGGCTTTTTTATCCTCTAATTGACATTTAAAAATATTTTCATTTTCTTATTAGTGATTAAGGAAGTAATAACATTTACATTAACATTTTTTTACTTTGCCTCAGCCTAACGAAAAAAAGTAGAGAGAAATAAAGAGATGTGAATCAATAATTTTGTCTTGGCGTTCATCGCAAATGTTTATATTATTGTAGCATTTATAATATTTGACCATCTCATATTTTCCATGTTGCATTAAAGGCTCTCAGTTGTTCGATTTTTTTTATCGTAAATGAAATACGTCAACTTGTATGAATGTTTAACTACGACGTAGTACACAAAGAGAAAGCTTGACATGATATTTTTACTACGGAGAATAACTATGGTAGAATTAGTGAGACTCAAATATACATTTTAAAGCTTCAAAAAAAAATTGAAGAAAATATTAAAACAAACTCTTGCATCACTAGGCAGGAAATATTTTTCGGAACCTTGGCATATATGACACATATAGTCACGCGTACATCGTGTAGTTCAGATGTAGATCAAGTTTACGCAGAAAGTTTTTTCTTATACATCGTTCAATACGCTTCGCTCGAAAAGAAAAACACGAAGAATACAATCTTCAGCTTTTTTCATAGATATATCTAAATACTCTTCGGAAGCTTGACAAAAACGACATACACATGTATACACAAGTGAGCTTGCGATGCTTTTGACAAGTCACGTTCGCGACTATAATAATACAAGCGTATATTTTGTATTTTGCTATTCGCATTCTTTTCCTGTACGTTGAATACTGCGAAGAGAAAAAAGGAAAAACGTCGTTCTGATGGAAAAATAAATAAAGATTTTGTTTATTTTTGTTCGTTCGTCATGCTAAAGCTGAGTTGATATTTCCTTCTTTGATTGAACGATTGAATTGTAAACTACAGTTATTGGCATTTTAGTCCGTCGAGCGATTTTAAATACTTCGAGTCACTGACCATTCATTAATTTCTTAATAAACGTGAAATTTCCGCATAATTTCTTAATCGATCAAAATTAAATTTTTATGAGTAATTAATTAAAATGACAAAACATAAGGCGAAAAACATCCATGAAAGTCTATCAAACGGACCGCTCAAAACAATGCGTTGAAACGCAATTTTCAGAGCTTACTTGGCTTGTGACCTCTCTTAGACTTGTGACGTTTTTCCGTTATGTGGACGCGTGTGATTCTGAAAGACTGGTT